TGGACCAAACCTTCTTGCTCTCGATCTCGAGCCGTTTCATGGCTGCTTCTCTAATTTCTAATTCCGAAGAAATCTTGCAACACTTCTGCTCTCCCTACACAACATGAAGGCAAGGCACAACACGTCGTCAATACGAAAGGACGGCCTTTAGTTCATCGCATCTCTTCAATGAATCGATACATATACTACTACTACCACTACTATGTACCTATCTTCCTACCTACCCATCCACCCGCCTACTTACCTATTATTATCTCAGTCACTATTATCATGGCATTGTAAATATCTTCTTGCTTTCCTTTCCTTTCCCATTGATGCCACAACGACATTTTTCTGATTCCTTTTCGTCTATCCATCATTCTATCATAAAATGAATGGTAGGCCTTACTGCGGCAGCTTGTACTACTTTCCGCGTACCATCCATCAGAGGCAAAACAGTTAGATGGACACAAACATAATACGCCTAAGGTGGACGCTGTCGGGTCGATAAGTTGTAGTGGGATGGATGTTGGTGGTCGTGGTGGCACTGATCATCATATATACTTCGATTGAACTACCCACCGGGTGTTGGCGATACTTGCCTGATGTTTTCCTATATTCATCGTGTTAGCTGTTGCAGCAGGTGACATATATTTGGAGGTCCAAATCATAGAAGGTGAATAGAAGTTATCTGTGTATATTCTTCCTTCTGGCCTGAGATTTCTGTCTTCTCATATTTTTCCATAACATTCGAAAGATTGCTTTGGAAAAAAAGATGGCAAAGTTTTTCTCGTTTTATCCCCTTCATTCGATCAAGGAAATCATCATCATTGATTAGATTTTGAAAGCAATTGATTGTTTAATGAAAAAACAGTAGATCATCATGATGAGTCAAATGGCGACTACAACTGGCGAAGGTATGATACGATTCTTCTTCACTGATGCTTAATTTTTATTTTTGTTTAAATTCACTTCTTCACTTCCTTGTGCTGTAATTTTCGTATAAAAAATATGATTATTTTGCTTCCGCTAAGTGTTCCCTTTCCGGACACAACAATCATTATCGGTCATTCAAATAACGAACTGTCACTTGCAACAGCAACAGTAGCTTCTCGGCAGTTCCGAATTAGCTAATTTTTTAAGGAAGTCATTTCTCTGGCATGCAAAGTAGTAGCACTTAAAGAGATATGTTTTGGCGTTGTTAATCATGGTACAATTACTGCTTTGGAGCTACAGCAATAAGCAATAATATTACTATTAGTGCTACCTTTAGCCGTTGCTGTATGCGTATTGATTCTCGGTTCCATCCCTGGCTAAATAAGGCAGAAGATAACATATAAGAACCCTCAAGTTGACCATGGATGGTCCAGAATGACAACTATGTGTGTGTCCCTTCAACTTAAGACCGACACTCGTGCTTTCTATGTTTGTTGCCAAGTGAATAAAATGTTTTATGGAGAGGACGAGGAATGCAAACAGTTACTTGCTCCCTTTCCTTCCCTTCCCTCCTCTCCTCTCCTCTTCTCTCCTCTTCTCTTCTCTTCTCTTCTCTTCTCTTCTCTTCTCTTCTCTTCTCTTCTCTTCTTTTCTCTTCTCCCCTCTTCTCCTCTCTTCTCCGTAATCTTCAAACAAATTTTGTACCCTTCGAAAAGCCCATGTCTCTGTGGAAGACAACGAAAAGAATGTACGAGCAGGAAAATCAATACGAAGAAAGTTTCTTCTTTCTCCCTCTCTTTCTCTATCAAACATCTCTTATTTTGCAGGAAATATGAGAAGTAATCGTTTAGAAAAGTTTCTTGAGTTTTTGCATTTCTCATTAATTATTATTTACCTCATAAAATTCCCTTATTTAATGAGGAGGTCAGTATGAGGTGACACGTCATGTCCTAGTCAGCTTTTTTTCAGTAGTTGCAATTCCCGTCTATCAGTTATGAATTTCTCATTTTCTTCCACTCATTACTGTCTAATGGATACTGATGCAATTCCTTGCTAAAAAAAGGCTTCTTTGCCTTCTCCCGAGAAATCTTCGATACATTAGTTAATTGCTGAAAAGCTGGCCATTGCACGGGGTGTGATTTTCTGCTTATTACACTAAATCCGCTTCATGAGATCAGCTGATACCCTAACCACTGAGTGAATATTTTTGTCATCTTTAATGAAACTAATATAATTCAACTACTGGGCTATCACTTAACATTTTAATGCCCCAAGATAACTTATATGTCCAAAAGAGCCAACAGTAAAATTTCTAGGACAAGTATGTCTTTCAATATAATAAAAAAATAATATGAAGGATGTGTTCTTCAAATGAAAACCACAGTAAACGCAATTATCTGTGGGTGATCGCATGGCAGAAAGACGACATGGAATGTGGGATGATGGATGCCACATTGACGACAGCCTTATCTATACTGTGCACTTATTTTGGAGTACAGTCTTTGCAGTTCATTTGTTGCCGTTAGCAGTGTGTACCTGAAACCTATTTATTTCTGTTCTATGCATATAGTAGAAGACTAGATAGAGAGTAGAGGGTTGAATTATTTGATGTGCTCAGCTGGCACAGTGTGCGTTCATATCATTTTATATCGCAGTTAGAGGATACGAAGAGTGCTGCAAAGAATTAAAGATGGATTGATTCATGATCGAATAACTTACCTTGCAATACACCTCTCACCTTTCTCGGTGGCCGATTATTTCCTCTGACTTATGTTAGATATGCCTGTCAGTCGCTCGAACGACCCAAAAAATTTTAAATACTAAAAGTGTGAGCCATGACTTAAAATTTGCCACTACACCTATTTGAATCATACCGGGTCAGGAATATTCTTGTTTCTGAATGCATTTTCTTACTAGATGAATAATAATATAATAGCTTTTGTTAAGTGCTATTTATTAATATTTACACTATTGAATTAATTTAATACGTAGATATTTATTGTGTACATTCTTAAGCGAATTGCATCTATTGTTGTTCACACAATAATTTGAAGTAATACTTAAGATCACTGTTGGGTATTGACCGCGTTATATCAATTATTTTTAATTCTTCTTATTCATTTCAACATTTCTCCTTGAATCTGACCGTGGTATTTTCCAGTAATGATTTTAGGATTAATTTTCCTCCTGTTTTGCAAAATTTTTAAACTTTTCTATACTTTGAATTGCTTATCAATTATTATGTAGAATACTAAAATGACGCAAATGTAAAATACACACAGGAGAGTTTTTCTAAAGTGTTCATTTTTTACGCTGTGAGGAGAAGTGTAGAAATTGTACTGCAGAATTTATCTTCAAGAACTGTCGAATTATGATACATAATCTAAAACAGTCATGCGTGTATGCTTTCTTATTTATATTACTACCTTTTTGTCAAATGTTTCAGTAAATGTCACATAGAAATTCAGTTGAAATCATCATATGACATAGAAAATGAAGTTGTAAATTGAGCATAAACAAAAAACTTATCTTTCCTTATATTATTGGGAAGAGCTGACTTTCCTATTTTATTTGCTGGTAGAAAGTTTTTTTTTTTTTTTTGTGAAGAGGGAGTTTTCTCAAACAAATTTCAATCAGCCCGGTACCACCAGTACCACCTTCACCATTGTTGATCACACTGTGTTCTAACGGAGATTGAAAACACTCTATTGCTTTACTCTCATCTAGCGTATTTTTATTTCATTTGTCAAAAAAATCAGCCGAGCACTTACATATCATACTTTTCTTATCAAATCTTCTCTCAAATCAAATCTTCTCTCAATTTGCTCGTAAATTTATGCATTAATTGATGTGTGGTCATTGTTTGGGGTTTTTTTTTTCGGCTAAGTATTCAAAACTCATTTTGGCAATCGTATTGCTGGTTATTAGACCATTTAAAATAATGGAAGGAGATATGGGTGAAGCACAATTATTTCTGTGCTTTTGTATTTGGACATAGATTTCGATTTTTTGTTCTTATTTAAAAACTCAAAGCACCTATTCTGTGGTAATCGATTTCTTCTAATATATCTCAAAAGGTTAAACAAAGGAATTTCTTTCTAATTTATGATATCTGTCAAGTTTTTGCTTTCATTGCTCACTGAAAATTCAAGTTATATATGCTTCCTTCGTACGTCTTTATTCCTAAACAAATGAAAAATTGTAAGAGAATATTACGAGATCGATCTAATCAGTAGGAGTGACGAAGTGTTGTATCCATAAAAAGCGTAGATGGCTAAACATGCGATATGTAGAATCTAGCTTTCAAATTGAGTTTTTTTTTTTCGAATATTTATACTGTTGCATATTGTTATACAAAACTTTATTGTGAATCCGAGAACTTCATTTACAAATTAGATACAAATTAACATATCATCGTATCCCGTGTATCCAAAGCGAGTATACCGGTCAAGGACGAGGTGATCTGTGTGGAAATCTCCTCATTCATTGCCTTTCTTCATTTCTATGGCTCTGTTTGTTAGATATTCATATGGTTCAGTTGTTACCTCTTAGCATTTTGATTTCAAAATAATTCTGCAGTTCTGCTTTCTGCCTAGGTTAGAGGATTTCTGACTGCATTAAACTTTTGACCTCTTCTTATATGAGGAGATGTGTCACTATTTATTAAGGATTATAAGGTATGATCCATTTAAACTTGCTGAAATAATATCTCACCTAACTTATTTATGATTACTTTTATTGGCAGAATAATGCTTGTTGTTGCTATGAAATCAAATAACTTTTCCGATTAATTTAAGTTGTTATTTCAGGCATCCCCCGCACAACAATCCTCACTTGCTTGCTTCCGTACTTTGCCATATCCTTTTATTACAATAGTCATTTTCATTACTGAATTTGCCGTCCTTCTATTTACTGAAACCTATAATCTATTTGCAGCAAATTTCTTATTTTCCTCATTACTGATCAATCTTTCCTGTACAGAAACTCTTTCTGTATAATTCCTACTTCTCCAACTAAGAAAAATTCACATTTTAACGAATTTTTTGCAAATTTTTTCGACCTTACCAACCAATTACAACTACAATATGCTGGACGCTTTCTATGGTTATTTCTTTGGCAGTGAGGATGTTAATAGCAGTAACACAAAAGTAAATATTGCATACTTTTCTGGTTTACTTGAATGCAAATAAGAATTTCAGTTTTTTTTTTTTTTGTCTGTTGGCTTTAAATTACTGGTTCACATCATCAGTGATGTTGATATTCTTCGGCAGTTGAGCTGTTAATTAAATATTCTTTTATCACAATTTAATTCTTGTTTGGAATTTTTGACGAACTTTTCTGAAAAACTTTTGAGGTTTAGTGCAGTTATGAAAATAGCAAAAAAAAAAAAAAAAAAACGATTTTGATTCATAGGAGAATGTTACCGTGCTGACGAATTCCACCGAATTGGTTGTTTGTACATTACCAAGTGCAAGTTCGGAAACTAAAGATGACGACTGGATTTTGGTTGATGGTAAGAAGGAGATATCACTCTTCGTAGAATACAGCATTACTGATATGTTAGTACAACGTCATAAGCTATGACGGAAGCAGTTCGAAACAAAGCTACTACTTAGCTTTATTTATTGCCCACACTGTCAGTAAAAATTCAACAATTATAAATTGATTGATACAGTTGTTACGACAATATTGCTGTTCAAAATAGGTGGATGAAAATATTGAATCTATTTATAAGCAAATATTTTTAGGGCAATTATCTTCTGGTCGTTCGACACCTGTAATTATTCCGGAACCGGATTTGATAGCAATTGATGATGAACTTTCAACGGTGGTTACGGAATCTTCACGATCATTATCACCTGCATCGACTCCTCCACGTAATGACGTGCTGTTACAGGAACGTGTTAGATGCGATTGTACATGTGATTTGAGTCGAGGATCACGCAACGGAATATCGGGCAGACATGTCGAACGAATGCGTCAGGCAAAGCAGAAGGCTATTGAAAGAAAGGAGTTGGAGCGGAAGGTGCAGGCTGTTGTCAATATTTAAATTTTATCAGGAATTAATTGTACTATTTTTAAATTTATACTATGTTTATGCTATGGACAGTCTCAAATTTCAAAGAGGTGGAAATTTGGTTGCAGCTTTTCGAGAATCATCTGCTTGGAATAAGTAGTGACGCAGACAAAAAACATGCAAACAATACTATCAACAACACTACCAATAATAAAACATTGAACATGCTGAATAATGCTGCTAAAATGAAGAGGTAAATTTAGTTTTTTATTCATTTGTAGCTGGCAACAATAGATCGATCGATTGCTATTATCTTCAAATATCACAAGTAGAAGATAGATTCAGGAATTTCGTTTTCAAGAGACATCAGTTTATGAAGTGCTTTGCTGTTTTCGTCTGTCAGTTTTCACTTCTGACAAAGAAGAATGTGGTTTGAAGATCTATCTTACATTTTAATACTACTGTTGAACACATCGAGGTGCTTCTTTTTTGGATAGGATGTATTTAGATCGATAGGTAAAGCATTCAATCATAAAGCAAACTAAGCTATTTGTTCATACCTATTCATATTTTCACCATGAGTTCTTTATTTTCGGCTTTGAAATCATCCAAATTTGGTTTAGAAAAAAATTATTTATGATGCTAAGTAAGCATATTTCGGGGTTTCTTCAATTTCCTGCAGGATTTGTTAATTGGCATTTGTAAGTTTTAATTTTTATTTAGTAACCTTTAATTCCTTTTGTATACATGAAGTTTAGATATCGTTCAGAATTACTTTGTAATTGAGATTTCATCATTTATGAAGTTTTATCGAAAACATCGCTATCTTAAAACCCAGTCTGAAATAAATTGAAGTAAATTAAACACGATTGTAGAATTTATGAAGTTCAGAGGATAGCAAGAAAATCATAAGAAGTCTTAGAAACAGAAAACTGGAGGATCATCCAGAAGCGACAATACTTTCTGTTTCAAATGAAAGTAATGCGATCTTCTGCAGATCCACCGCTGCTGGGCATTTTGCAACGGATTCAAAAACGAAATCGCGCTCAAAGAAGACCAGTCGTTTGCTAGCTGGCCGTAACAACGACCGCAAAGTGAACACTTTGAATTAAATGTTAGACTAAAGGTTGCTGTGAACTCGGAGAAGTGGTCGACAAAAAAGCATGGATTTTTGTTTCAATTTGCGTCTTGTGACTCTCGCTGTCGTAATTACTATTCCCATTACCATCGCTCAACAAATCCACTGTGGGGAGATATATACTATATCATTTCCACCTTTCAATTCTAAAAAATCAGCACAGCAGCTATTCTCACCTTACATTTTACTGTCCTGTATAGCACTTTCTCAAAAGCCTCACTTGATAGTTATACCTTACTACCAGTCAACGCTTTTTTAATCGTGTAGTATATATGTATATATACATATATATTTTTTAGTATGTTGTGCAATTGACAGCTGTTGGAGAATTCTCAGATTTTTCGTTTATTCTTTTAGTTTAACTGAGAGGGATATTTTTAAAGAATAACCGACAAATAATATCTGTCTTTCTTTTTTAGTTTTCGAACTTCTTTACTTTGCTTTAGTTATCATTTCTGAACATTATGGTTCATTTCTTACAATGAACACAATGAATTTTCACGCCTATATTGAATAGTTCTCAACGAGATAACTGCCTGTAGGAAAAGTGAAATGCATTTGTTTGAGAGGAAGTACCAATTCACGACTGAACAGATTATTCACTTTAATCTATGTCGAAATGATCGACAGATCGCTATCCATGAAATATTTATCGATCTCTTGTAATCCAAGAAGCAATGTAATGCTTTATATTATAATATTGATCATTTGGAATCGACTAATTAGTAGAAACGGATGCATTTGGCGTGCTTTTTGATTGGTTAGCCTCGTATCTCCAGCAGTTGTACTGCTTGTTCTTATTTTGTATAAATTTGTAATTAAATATCAATCACTTGTATGGTATTGTAGTGCATCTTATCTTTATTTTACACATAATTCATATCCTTTCATGAAATTCTACCTGCCTGCCATTTTAAATCCATTTTGTGCATGTTCTCCTATATATATTAGCAGTTTTTGTAAATGAGGGTTTCGAAGTAAATTATCAGTTATCAATGTTCCCCAGAATTTCTTTATCAGTAAATCCCTTAATAGCTTTCATGTATGATTTCTTACACTTTCTCAGTCTATTATGGGTAAATTACTCAAAATTTTGATTTTTTTCAATTTCTGTGTTAAGAGACGACCATTTTTTCAATTCAAGAATTTAAACGAAGTTCCAAAAAACAACCAAAAAATCTAAAAGAAAATAGCTAATTTTTAAAAGATTTCTCAAAATCTAAGGCATCTGTTATTTTAAGGCACTTGTCGTGTTTTATGTGGTTTTGATTTACTATTCACTTGAATTTTAACTCTTACCACTTCGCTCTTTATATCTTAATGGTCCTTTACATGTTCTGTGTTGCTAATACTAATAAGTGATAATCATTTTAATTATAGTAAAGGAAATGTAAAGTAGCTATATCAGTGTGATTTGTTGCCATAACCAATTTTTGCTGAAGTAATTTTTTGCGAACTTTTTCATAATGATCTAATAATTAGAACTGTAAAATAACAAGTTGCAATCAATTATTAATATTAAGCTTACATTTTTCATTTCTCATTTCTCTTTAATTTTGAGTGAATCATAATTATTAGTTTTATTTAGAAGAATGTGTCTTCTTTAAATTTCATTAAAATGTCCCTTTATTAAATTATAAGCTTATCTCATTTATATATACACGATGCAAGGTTCTCATTTATGTATTTATATATATCGTTTATATATACACAACGCAAGGTATTTATACTTTCATGTAGAGTTATCTAGTAATATTTCCTACTTTTTAACTGTAATAATAGCGGTGAGTTATTGCTACAGTTATTTTTGAAAAGTAAAACACAAGCATATATAGCAAACAATCTGACAATCAAGTCTCTTGAGTTTCATTGAAAAAAAAATCATTAAATTTTAACGTAAGCGTTGATCGAATTTAAAACACGACGCAGTTGCAGTTAAAACTATAAAACTTGCGTAATTACTGTCCCTGAAATTTTAATCGTAAGCTTTCTAAAGGTCTTACGAGATCATCGGAGTGATATGTATGTCATTAACTTTTCTCGTCACATTTCTGGATATCTTTACATCTCTCTGTTTGCATAGTTTTTTAAAGTGAAGTATTGTTTCATTATACAATACAAAACGAATTCGAATAAATTTCTGCAGAGAAAACTAAAAACTGAAAATGTGCGTATTGTCTTTGCTTGACTTTCTCTGACTTTTACTGTCCAGGTTAAACAAGCGTATTTCCTCTTAGATGCTTATGCTATCTTGTCATTTTTAGGAATCTTACCCAAAACTAAAATTTTTCTTCGAATCTTTTATGAATGATTTGTGCGTTTGAAACCAGTAAGGTTTCAAACTGCATTTTAAGATCACTTCTACAGCTCATAATCAGCTGCTGAATAAAATTTATTCAAGACAGGAATTCGATTTCATTTACATTTTAAATGATATTTCAAGCTTATAACAACTCTTAAATCTCGAAACCTGGAAGCCTGATTTTCTTATAGGACTTCCTTGTTGGTTCCTATTATAATGCTTTTTAAGTATTTTTGTTTCTGCTGTAAACAAGCACTTGCGATCTCTGAATTGACTTTTTTTTAAAAATATATTATCCTCGTAATTTTCTGCGGTTAGTTATAGGCTTTGTGTGCTGGGATTTAACACAAAATAGAATTATTAAATGTGCTCGTGTTAATGTAATTTTTTTTAATGCACCTATTGAAAATGATCTTTTTTCATTATTTTATGTCTTCAGCTCTTTTTACCGCTTTTTCCAACTTTTTTCGGTATAATTTTCCGAGATTTTTTAGATCTGAATATTCAAAATCATTTTTTATAAATAAACTTTTTGTCGTGTGTTTATGACTTTGCATGATAAAAGATTTGATTGAAATCTAAATCACCAAAAGAAAGAATCCATTCTTGAGAAATACATTATTAAGTTCACAACTTGGTAAATATAATGATAATTGGACAGTTGACTGGAGGAAGTGAGATTACACTCAACTACTGCAAAATTACCGATATTTCGATCACATTTCAAACGATCTTAGGGTCTTCTAATAAATAATTCACTCTGTAGAAAGTTGAAGAAAGTTCGGTAGTAAAAGTGTAAAATATAGTAGGCGAAATTATTTGAGATGTGATAATACGTTTATTAGGAACGCGAAAGAATAAGACAACTTGCATGAATCATTTTAGTTTCGTGTCGTGCCTAATGTCTCCTTTACAAGAGTTGTGTATTGTTTCGGTTGTGCTTTTTGTGGAAGAATGAAGATATTTTCAGCAGTGGTATAATGAATTCTGCTTTCGACCCTTTCTTTAGCTCTTCTAATCAAACTCACGTAAAAGCAAGTCAAACCAGCTACTTTGCAAGTGGATCTGCGCCTCTGTCTCCCCTCCTCAATAACTAGTTCTAACCTCAACAGAAGATGAAGATCGTTAGTGTAGTGCCTATAAACCTTCTTTATCAATTTACTGTTATACGGCACTTCAGACTAAATAGCGTTCGGTTGTAATGTTTAGTGCATGAAATGAACTGATTGATGATGCTAGGCAATATTTATTTGCATATCCTCTTAGTTGATGCTACATTTAATCATTCTTCAGAAAAGCTGTATTATGTTGAGTCATTTAATAAATGATTAATAAGCCTACCTTTAAATATTTTCCCTTGTAAGACGATTGGCGCTAAAATTTCGTGCTCATGCTGAAATTCAATCAACTTATTTGGTTGTTTTTAATTATGTTAAATGCTGAAACTGTTGTTATTTTTATACATAAAATGAACGAACAAGAAAGGTCAATGATAGAATTAAATGGGACTGGAGATATAATTAAATTACACTCGCGGCATCAATATCTGAGTTGTTTGGCAATCAATTTCATGGTTCAAGTAGCGGTGATCTCCTCATCCATTCCTCGTTGTAATCCGTTGTAATCACCCATTATGTGTCGCTCGATGTAAAAATCCTCATAGTTTTCAACAGTTGACACTGAAATTTTGTCGCGCTTTTCATATACTGAGTTTAAAATTCACAATCTTTGCAAGATCATAAGCATCAAACTGTCGAAGTTTATTTCCTATGATTTTCTCAAATTTAAGACGATAAATTATCATTTGTGCGTTATCCTGCGTGAATTATTCTCAACTTCAATATAATCTTAGTAAATCAGATTACGGCTTAACCTCAGGCAATTCAAAAAGCTATTTGTTCATTTTCTAATTCAAATTCACCTCAGTTATAAAATAGATTAAGGAAATGAGCATAGAAGAATAGGAATCAATTGCATAGAAGAATGAATTGCATAGAATGAAGAAATGAGCATAGAAGTCGATTGCATAGAAGAAATGAACATAGAAGAATCAATTGCAAACTAAGTTTGATCTTGTAGGATTGAAATAAACTTCGAAAATGAGTTAGTATGAAGAGACTTTTTATCTTTAAGATGCAATTGCTTTTAATCTTTATTTTTCTAATAGGAAATATTTTTTTTTTTAAGGAAAAAATATTATATAGTACAAATTACCCATTATGTTTCATCATTACCACAATTATTGTGATCAATGAAATCAGTAGAAAAAAAAACAAATATTGGTGAGACCTGATCAATATTTGTTTTTCTTTTTTTGCTATAATTTAAAACTAAAAATTTTAAGTCTCTGAGAGGAAACTTCTAAAATTCTAAACTTAAATTTTCTTTCTTTGTGCTGAGATTAATTTTCGTAAAGAGAAGTTAATTTTTGTAAAGAGAATGTCTGCCTTTAGTGACTCAGTAAGATAAGAAAATAAATGCAACTCTGCAATGCTATTGGTCCATTTAGTATTAAGTAATCGAGGTGCACTTCATTTTGCAAAAAATATATCAGCTCAGTTAACTTTTAGGAAATCTATTTTTCTGTACCCATTTTCTTACTCAGGTGAATTTGAAAATGAACGAATAACTTTTTGAATTGCCTGAGGTTAGGCTGTAATTTGACTTACTAAAATTGTAAAATTGAAGCTGAAAATATTTCAGGATAACATGCAAATGATAATTTATCGTCTGAAATTTGAGAAAATCATTTAAAAAAAATGTAGTTTTCAGAAAATAAGCTTCGACAATTTGATGCTTATGGTCTTACGACGATCGTAATGCAAGAGATTGCAGTATATGAAAGCGCGATAGAATTTCAGTGTCAGCTGTTCAAGTCTATGAGGATGTGAATGAATTTATAGATGCATGATAGGACTGAATCACGAGATGTTAGAATAAGAGAAAAGTTATATGTTGCAATAAAGACAACTATTAGAGATTCTCTTTCAAACAGAAATTTATATTTTACTGTTTTGTTCAATAGTATTGTTCCAAATAGTCTATTCCTAGAACAGAAAAGTCATCTTAAGTTCTTCTATTATTTTATAAATTAAAAAATTGTTTTTATATCATCATAATTTTTCAAATTGAAGTAGTATCTCCTCTTGTCGAACGGCCAACAGAAAAAGTTTTATAAAAAATTGTTTTCTGAAAAATACAATTTTCAGGCATACAGTTAATTAGCATTGGTAGAATCATAAAATATAATACAAAAAGTGTAGATATACTGACACAGTATTTAATATCATCTTTAATTCATTCCTATGTTCTTAGCTTGGATCACAAAATCTAACGTGAATATTATCCGCCATTTGATCGAATTTATCAATTGCAAGCCTTATTTGTGATTCATAAGCCTAAGTAATGCATATTTAATAAATGAATTAAGTACTTCTTCGAGTATTTTTTTTTCACTTATTTATTTATCGTTAAACTGTCATTCGCTAGTAAAAAACTTATGAAGGAAAAAAAAAAAAAACGTGTCCGAAAACGTATGAACGATAAGTTAAGATTTGCATAAAATAGTTTTACTTACATAAGTTATTTACAGATGGAAATTTTTAGAGGACCTGAAGGAAGTTTACATTTTCTGCCAATAATGACATATGAGATAGTGCAATTAAAGCAATGAAATAATCGCCTGTAAAACGTGATAGCGATGCAAACATTTAAATAGTTCATATTTGAGTCTTCATACTTTCTGAACATTTTTTAATTTCTAATTCTGAAATACTTTTATTCATTTCCAAGTAAATAGACTCAATCCCAAAATTTTTAAGATTTACTTATCAGCTTTCTTTCAGGATGTCTTATTTTTTTTCGGACTTATATATATATATTTTTTCGGAGTTAAAGAAATCTCTCGTAAGAATTCTTGCGTAGCCTTTCTGGTACATAAAGTTAAAATTCATTTTGTTAAGCATCCAAAAAATAGACTGTTTTCTCCTTTATTTCTTTTAGACTGAAGAAAGTTCCGAAACTCTAGCAAACATTTATTCGACTTGCTCATGTGATTTGTCATCATAAGAATCTGTTTTAAAGGTGTCAAATTTGAGGTTAGCCTAAAATGATGACGACAAATTTGACAGGTTCAAGTTTAAATAACAGTTGACATCTTTTGTTGAAGTTACTCACCAAATCATAAATTTGTTAAAGTAATGTCTTTAGTCTATTTTTAATCTTCCGTACTCTGCGGAAAATGTGAGAAGTCAGCTGATAATCACTCTGTTATCAGCGTTCCATTTCTATTTAGATCACTTCATTCATGCACATATTACTAAACTTTCTGCTAACATAATATTCTAGTTCCCGAGCGATAAATCACAAATGCTTTCTCTTTCCTCATGAAAACACTTCGCTCCGTTAATTCTAAATTTTACGCCCACTTTGCAAACATTTAATCAATAAGAATTTTGAAGAGCTTTTCCATGTAATGCTACTGACGTGTTTGTGTAAATATGTATGTGTGTGTGTGTGTGTGTGCATGTATACATAAACAAATAAATATATATATATATATATTATCTTTGTTAATATACCTTCAACGGATTTCCTGTAAGAAAGAGTGATAGAAGGGAGGAAAAGGAATAGGTTGGTCAGCAAGCGGCTAGCAATTGAATTAGAGAAGAGAAAAAAAATAAGAGCCAAAGTATAAGTAGGTCAGGTTACCAACTTGCAATTAGACTCAAACATATGTCCATTTTCCCTCGTGATTAATAGCCTGGTGCTGCGGACAAGCAGTTCATTCATTACCAGCCACAAAAGTTATACTTTCCGTTCTCATTACTATCATTATCTCTTAGCTCATCATCATTTTCTCTGACAATCTTTTGCTCTTAACTGATATAGCTACTGCTGGGTTTTCAGTTTTCAATATCATCCCTTTATTGCTATATTACTATGAGCCTAACTTGGCATCTAGCACTAGGCCATTATGAAGCATTTAAAAAGAATTGAATAGACTCATTCAACTTACGACTCACTGCAAAGTAGTTAATTATTTCCTCAATCTCTTCTTACACTACTCCCTTCCATCTAATGCTTTTATAACTATTTCATTCCTGAATTATAGTGCAATTAACTACTCGAAAAGCTCTAATGTAAATTTCATTCCGTAGAAAAAGCTTATGAAATGTTTCTTTGGACGTGTTACGATCTTATTGTAGCTGCATCCATATAGCTTCTACTTTACTCTTTCGTCTTATTGTAGTTGCATTCCCCTTTGCTCTTGAGTTACTCTGTTCTCAGTACTCACATATTTTCTCATGCACTTATCCACCAGTTTCCTTAATCCGTTTCAGGATAAAAGACCTATTCTCATGCACATATTACTCACTCTGTCTTTCTACTAAACTTTCATGTCGTTGAATTAGAAAACAATTTGTCTGCTCACCAACAGATTTTTTTCCCAGCGGTTTAGCTTAATTTCCTCAGCTTGTAAATATTAAGCCTTAATTTGGTTGGTTTTGGTTACCTTTCCCATGTGATTATAAATAATCAATATTGAGGACTAATTTGATGAACAGATATATTCAGGTTTCCCTTCTGAGACTCAAGTATCTGAATAACTTGAGTATTCAAAGTAGAACTGTCAGTTATTTTATACGATGCGGAATCGCTACACTTGCTTTCGAAAGACACACGGACGTCTGATCGCCACATTTGCATTCTAAATTTTGTGATATTTTTAATTGAGCGGTCATATGGATTCATCTAGGATTATTTCATTCATTGTTTCTTTGCTAATTATAAGTAATATGCATACCCAAAATCCAATGATGAAAAGTTAATTCTTTTCTTACATTTTTTACATATTTTTATTTTTACTAAATTTTTGTCAAATTACATTTGTTTTTTATTAAATTGTAATTGTTTTTTTTATTTTCATTAAATTATATTTGCATATCTTTCTTTTTTATGGAATTTTTTATTTTTCATGAAGCGTCAGTCATGATGTGATACTTGATAAAGTTTTGAAACCATCCAAATTACATTGTCTTTTCATTTTGCATAATTCGAGTGACGTTCACTTTCACTAAAATCCCTACAGTGTCAGACTGACGATTTGTTTATTATTCTTTATTATGATTCAAATAAAGTAAATTTATGCCTCCTCCACTTGCTTTTTGCAATTACTTGACACTACTCTATTACTTCCCAGATAAAGTTGTTTTAGAAGTAAGAATGTGGTTGAACGTGTCATCACGCACAAGATTATCATTAGTAATTGTACACTTGTTTGTATTATTTGTGCAGCGGTTCTGTCGAGCAGTTCAAGCAAAAGGTAACCCATATGCTATCATTATGGTTTCGTCTGCCCGAACTTCAACCAATAATCCTCTCCGTTCACAGGAAAATGTTACCTTATGGTGTCAGGTTTGTTCTTCTTTATTATAACTGTGTTTTTATTATAATTGTGTTGCAAACTTCGTCGAGTCAACTTTTTCGTAATCTAATTTGGAAATCCATGGTTAATTTTTGGAAAATAATTTAGTACATCAAAAGTAGAATACATCTAGTAGTCATTGTAAATCCAAAAAAATTATTGAAAGGAAAATGAAAATTCAATATATGTTTAATGCAAGATGCGTGATGTGATGTATGCTGAAACATATTTTATTATCTTCAACAGGTGCAAATTGTTTTATGTCTTGAACTACTTTCATGGAATGCATGTTGATTCTGAGACAGTGTTTCAGGCGGAAGATCGAGGCGCAGTAGCAGAAATTAAATCGGCGGTGTTTGTACGGAAACGGGACGGTATGGTGCTTAAAGCTGAGATAAGCAATGATCATAAACGCGCTTATCATCATTTCGGTTTAGCGGATGTTGCTGATTCTGGTAATTATATATGCAGACTGACGACAACTAATGGACTGAGTGTCAGTGGCAATCACCAAGTGTTCGGTTCAGAGATTTCTGTCTTTCTTTCTTATAACTTGTAGCTAATTGTTAGTTACAAACATGGTTTTTGCGCCTAAAACTTTTACAGAAGGCACTCCTATTTTTTATTCATCTTACTTAGGGATTCGGCTCAATTACAAACATGAGGAGGAAATGATGAAGAAATTTATTATTTCTTAAGTTTGATTTTCTAGTGAATAGTTTTATAACACTTTTCAATTCTCAGTTTCTGTTTAGTTCGTCCTGTGGTCTTAGCAGATGTCGGACATTTTGAGCCACGAAAGAATGATCCGTTTTCATTTGATGGTAATGGCGTTACAGTTGTTCGAGGCTCATCAGCTGAGATAACCTGTCCAGTGATCGCTTTCCCAACACCTAGGTTTTCTTGGACAAAAGATGGTAAAGAATTCAGTAAGTGGAGATTATTTTTTAATAGTGGAGATTATTTTCATGAGGAATTCCTGAGAGTGAGTTTTGGTTTGTTTGAAAATGAAATCTCCTCAAATCAACATCTATTATAAGATAGCAGTTTCATATTTTAATGTGTATTTACATACATATTCATTCAAGATGAGGTGCCAAAAGGACAGTGCTTGCGAGCGATCTTATAAAATTGTGTTATTATTGCTGCTGACCACTTTGACTATGGCCATTTTTTGATTTCATTTTGATATCATTTTTATTCATTGTCCAGCCACAAAAGATGATCGTGTGAACATAAAAAGCGATGGAAAAATATTGATTGATGAAGTTAGTGACGCCGATAAAGGTGTGTATGAATGTACTGCAACAAATGAATATGTCATCAGTGGCCGTACAGAAGCACATCAAGTGATGCTGGCCAGGGTGCTACGAGTTAAAAGTGAGTCGTTTCTGATAATCTCATTCAAACATTGAGTTTATATAAATAACTTATCTACTAGAATGTGAAATGCTGTTTAGGTGAACTGGCATGGTTATGGCCATTGTTGGTGATTATCATCATTATCCTCTTACTTTTGGTAGTAATCATATTCGGTGAATGCAGGACGAGACAGAATCAGCAGAAACTGTAAGCTTCCGATCTTTCTTCATCTAATCTTTTTTATGAAGTGAAAAACTACGAATCATAACAATAAGTTTGTGGTCTACACCAATTTCTGCACCACAGCCAGTCAAATTAAGTCAATTGAAATCGAATCGATTATTATTTATTCTTTTCTTTTTCTAACAAAATTACTTCAGACTGGAAACGGAAGACTAAATGGGAAGTGTGGAGGCTAAGTAAAATGCTGAATGTATCGATCAGCTATTGTTGCTTTTGCTCCTATATTTGGTGGATTGGCCTAAAAAGTTGGATTGCTTTTATAGCATGTAAGCACATTCTGTTTTAATTCTGCGTTCTACCTGTGTTACAATGAATGAATGACGGGTTTCTAATTACGATGTCATCGTAAATGTGTCTAGAAATAAGATATGCATTTGTAAAGAGAAAACCAGAGAACCACGATTAATTAATAGTGAAATATTCCAGAATGTTACAAAATGATTTCAACTTAAGTTTCATTCAATATTTGTATTAATCTTTTTATACTACCCAAGCCTTATTTTCTCATAGATGTGCTCAAATAAGCATGACAACTTTATCGAAGAATGTCAAATCGTCTTCCTTTTTATTTTTCAAGACTACAATTTATGAATTATAACTTATTACAGGTCATCACATGCAGCACTAGTAACAGAATTAGTGTTCTAAATTTCCTAATCGGCCTTTTTAACTAGTTAGATTTATCTTAAGCATTCTCTGCGAAGAAGTGAATGAAAGTAAAGTTCATGAAGTAAGTAAAAAAAAAAAAATACCATCTTAGGGTATCGCCTTTCTAGTAAATATCCTTTTAAAGAGGACTTTTTTGCCCCATTCCAGTCTTAAAATTGGAATGGGGCAAAATTTTTCAAAATGATACATTAGGTTCAATTGTCTTTCTTCAAAATAGTACAGATATTTTTTCGACATAAAGCAGTTCTATGAACATTGTTATTTTCTGTATCAATCTTCCTTTCATTTATCGAATAAGAAATACCGCATATGATATCAAACCAAAGCATTCATTCTATGTTTCCCATTTTGACAGTTTGCTAATGCCATATCGCATAGTTTGACACTAATCTCTAACTGATGTTACTCTCTTCGAACTATGATCAATAGTACATTATCTATTGTAACATTAAATGTGGTGCTAAACTTAACAGTGTTCTGCCCTCTTTGTATTTATTGCTAATTCATGGTATTGAAGTTAGCAAAGCAATCTTAGTGTCAGTGTCAACCACACTTCAATTTCATAATTCAAATTGTTCCACAAACACAAAGCTTTATTAAGGCTATACTTGATTATTAGACTTCGTTATTTTCAAATGAAGTAAGCAGTGTTGTCAATTATGTTTTCATTTGACTTTGTATTCCTTTCCACTTTTCCAAACCGAGATTTTTCTTTATTCGCAATTTTAAAAATTTTTAGTTTCAATCCATATCTTACTGACATCGAGTGTAATATTTCTAAAACTATAGTGCGTTTTTTGACATTTTTATAAGCATACGAAATTTTTTTGTGTATTATATACTTAGTGGCAATGTTAACAGATAATAGTGAAGTTTAAAGCTACCTCGATTGGATTCACTACAGTTTTATCCTTGAGAATGAAGATTTTATTCTCGAAGAAAAAGACAGAGCCGCAATAACCTCAGATTACTTGGCTATTCGATTAAATAAAGGCAACTGTACAGTTTATAAGACATACTAATTTTATGAAAGTAATGTTAGCTATAAATAACCTTCCCACATCATTTCATTTAACCAAATAGTGTAAAATGTGGCAGTATCTCTTATTTATTTTCTTGAAGTTGTACAAATATTCACTCGGAATCGTATTTCATTTCGATCCATACCTATCCTTTTTCAGTAACTGTCCAAATCGAATTTCATGGGATGGAGGAATGGTGGAATTGAATTGTAATGTAACAGTCAAATGAACTTAACTTATTCCAGAAAGCGCAAAAAATTGAATAACAACACTAAAGATAATTTATAATGACACGAGTCAATTAGTATAAAACTGAACATAATGAAAAGAGTGAACCAACATAGACTGATTCTTTCTTACACATAATTTTTTGCCAACTGAGGAAGAAAGAAGAATTTAATTCTTAAACTTGTAATGTTACTGTAGAGGAACTTTCAGCAAGGTCCAGTCAGCGGGTAAAAAAAGGTGTAACGTGTAGTTGGGGTATGTTTTTTTGTAACGCACTGACAAAGATATATATATATATATTTCGCTTGTTTTCGTTCTTAGAAGCCTTTGGAATTTTTAGTCGGAAAATCTGAAAGATCGAAACTAAATTCGCATAAAAGTAACGGGAATGAGGACTGTTGAACAGACACTGGAACAAGTGGCTAATTATTTTACAAACACTATTACATTCATTATCAATGTCTCAATCAGCGCTAAAAACATAACTAGTCGTCCACTTTAAGAAATTGCTGCTTGGATTTTTCTTAATTAGAAAATTTGTTTTGTAAGTATTCCTCACTGTAGTTATAATACTAACTATAGAAATTATCTCAAGCAATCTAATGAACAAAAGTGGATCGAATTCAGAACCGTAAAGTTTGCAGAATATTCACTGCATTAAGGTTTCAGTGTGTATTCAAAAGTAACAGTTGCAGTAGTTGCAATTGTATTGAATAATCAAATTTCAAAACATTCGTTTTTCACTATACAACAAGCTACATAATGTTAGCCACAGCCTCCGCAGCCACCACAACCACCACACCCACCGCAACCACCACATGCACCACAAGCGCCTATAAAATATAAAAATTTAAACATCTACACATCGCCAAATAAACTACACTTCTCAAGACATCCAGAAATTCCATAATTTATTTCTACTGAGGAGTTGAATCACTGCAATCAAATGAAGAATGAAATTACTAATATACCGAGCAAAAATAAGGTTTGAGAAAGTATATGACTAACCACAAGCACCACAAGCTCCACATGCACCGTCGTCGCAACTTCCTGCGCAAACGGCAATCATTGTAGTAGTTATGTCCAAATCTTCGTTAATTTCTTGATGTGAATTCACGTGCCTGTTGGATGGCAATGCTTTTCCATAACCGCAGGCTACTGTCAAAGGCCATTTATGACATTGATGTGCAATACTATTTGTATCACTATGTGAACGAACCTAAAATAGTACTTATTTGGTAATGGAAAGCTTTCGTCAGCTACTTCTAAATTCCTCACCACATACTCCAATTTTCTCACCCTTTTCAGTCACCATTATTTATTAAGCAAAAACCCAATAAGCAATGCATCATCCAAACATTAACATAGCAAATCTCTTTTTCTATGTTAACCAATCTGCCAAATTCGATGAAAATTTTAAAAATAAGACTTAAAAACAGTAAAGCTCTTGACAAAGAAAATAAACCATGAATTTTATAATGAATTTAGTTAAATTATTTTAAATTAGTTAAATTATATTTATATTTTAACAAACAAAAGATTATCATTGTTTCGTAAGTTAACAATCATCGAAAATTACACTTGTTTTGTCCAAAAACATGAATAGTTCTGATGTTGACCATTTCTTTTTTCGATAATTTCACTTTTAACGAAAATAAAAATGTTATTATTATTAATAATGTTATCAAAATTCCATCAACCTATTATTTGTGCTATCAAGATTTTATCAGTCTATTATTTGTATTATCAGGATTTCATCAACACTATTTGACAAGAATTGCAAAAAAAAGTGTTTGATAAATGTTACAAAATTTATTTCAAAGTTTATAATGGTATTGATGTAACATATCCTACTTGGATCAACCTAATGGAATTTTATGATCCCGTATCTATGGTTCAATTTCATCTTCATTAGTATAAATTTTATTACAATGAAAATAGATTATGGTGTTTTTTGTTAATGGAATTTTTGATTGTCGCTACATTTACTCCCGCGAGAGTTAGCAAAGTGATGGACGAAATAATTATTTCGTATGGATAACTAGCACTAAATAATTGTATATTTACTTTATCAGGGTTGCAAAGTACGAATAAAGTTGCAACACTGAAAACACAAGCAAGATGTTCAGCAGTTTGTATTGATCGACACTGTATTCTTTTGCTTGGCAGACGTGCTTGTGCTTCTGAAATTTCATAATATAAGCATGTAATATATACTCACTGGATTTCGTATTTCATAAAATTATTTTGCATGCATCAATACTAACATCAAGTTTTAACAAATAAGTTTAATTTGTCAAATTTGACTCACCGCATCATATCAAAGCCGAAAGATGACTAACACATTTCAGAAATATGATATTATAAAATGCCTTTGCATATTACTGTTACAGTTTAAAAATGTAACCCCAACATCTCTAATTTTTTAATCAGAGGCTTGTTTTGTTTAGAATATTCAAAATATCTCATATACCTCCTATTACGAAGAATGTACTTCCTTCAGGACCCGGGATTTCGAACTTCTGCACTGTATTTTTTAGCAAGTTGAACGCATCCACCTTGAAATAGCCTATTTTAAAAACGAAGAAGAAATCTGCACAAGAGAATTTGTGATTTAAGTCCATATTTTCTTTCCATTCTATTACAGGATAAAATTTTAATATACCTGCAATTTTCCAGGGTTTCCAGCTTTTGCTTTCTGTTCTTTATCGCCTGGAATTTTGCGACTGAAACCAATCCATTTTCCTTTAACAATAGCGAAATCACCATCTTTATTCATCACGGCAATTGCTCGCTCATCTGGTGCTGATAAGTGAGGTAGAAACTGCTGAAATATATATATATATACTGAATAAATAAATCAATCAGTAAGTTTCAACTAAAAAGCAATTTGTTGAAATTCAACGAAATAGAACTATTGTTTGTGTGACAAAGACTGTCATTTGCAAAATGCTAGATAAATGAACAAACTAACGAGATTAGTATCCAGCTGGTCTTTTGAAGGGAGAGTATCGGCACCTATTAAATGAGCCATGCAGAGTAACCGTTGTTGCCAGCCATAAACTAATATCATTGATAACAGCAGTGAGGCACTATGTGCCACCTGGACGGTATATTTTGTACCATCACGAGAATCCACTAATCTAGAAATTATTACTCATAGCTAAATTTAGTTTTCGAAAATGTTCCGAAAGATATTCTTTCTTCGTTTAAATTTCTGTCCCTAGTTCAGAATCGAACTCATTCTGTTTCATTCTCTATTAATGCCTCTCTACACTGAATAACCTACTTGCCTCTATTTTGACTACAGCAGAGCTATATTGAAGATAAGTAAACTGTAAAAAAAAATGGAAAAAAGAAACAAACGTATGTGTAGCTAAATGAATGGTTGCTGAAGACTGCAGACCGGCTCGGTTTAGTGCCGCCGATTGACACAAAAACCATAAACGGCTATCCGGGATTAGTTCCTGCTGCACAAATTCACCAACAATAAGCTGCAGTTCGCGGTTTAACGACAGGCTACAATTTAATTTAGTCAGAACTAATTATGGAAATAATTTTAAAAGATTATATAATTAGAAAAAACTACAGAATCGAAGATGGGCACATTCGACACATGTTGTCAAAAGTATGAGTTAACACTAAACTTTGTGAAATAAGCAATTAGAAGGATGTAATAAACAGATAAATTCACTAACTTCGTAGTAACGCTGACCTTCGCTTTTAAATTTTTGTCCGACTCACGACTTTTTACAGTGACTTGAGCAACGTTTTGTGATATTTTCGAGTTTGGAAATGGGAGTAACTGAAAATTTCCATATGAATAATACTGTTTAGCTAAAACGAATGGAATATGGAACTCTTTTAACGCAAAACGGTGGATACTAAAAACAACAGTGAAGATATTTTCTCGATTCTATCTAAATAGCAAAGACTAAATTAAAATGGGAAGTTTAAATCATAATCAGATAGTAATGCTAATTTGGTATAAGTCATGCAAAAGTAAGGTAAATTTCATGACAATTGACACTCAACATATTATTCAAGTACTAATCGAACGACGTTAATTTGAAATAAAACAAAAAAAAAAATGAAGTAGTAATGCCTACCTGTTCTAGTGAAACAAGTCCAGTTAACTTAACTACATCCTTCTTTTGTAAAAACATTTTATCGAAAAGTTCCAATTCAAGAAATAATTCTTTAGGATTGCGTCGTTCAAATGGGAATTTCACGACTGATGAGCTCGTAGAATTTTCAGTTGGCTGCCAGACCAATGAAAAACCAGATTTTGTCACCTGATTTGAAAGAAGGAAAAATTATTGAGCCATGGAAAACTTTGATTATTTGCACTTCATATTACGAAATTTTCGAGAGAGTAAAATTTTGAAAATTGACGTTTTCCGTAAAGTTACCTGCTTTGACGTGAGATCGGCATTGAATGTTGTTACTTTCTTATTTCCGTATAGTAGTTTTAAGCGGACTTGTTCTCTCTGTAACGGAATTTCACGAAGAGTAATTGACGGTATGTGCATTTGACCATAAGTAATACTACTCAAATCTTGCGTTTCAAAACCCAAGAAAGATGGTGCTGGATGTCCTCTAAAATAAAAAGCTGTCATTCAGCAGACTATTCATAAGTAATAATGGAATATTTTTGTTGCAAGCGTTGCGTAATAGAAGTTAGGAGTGAAAATAGGTAAACCGGTACAAATAACCCTTAAGCTGCTTATCCGTATTTCAGATAATTAAATTTTTTCAAGAATGGAATACATAGTTTGCTAAAGTTTAAACTTACAATATGTCATAAATTGGTTTAGTACATAAATGGAAAAAAGTATTTCTAAAAAAATGAACTTCTTAAAAACCTTTGAAATTGAAGAGATTTTTTCCAATTTTCTTAACCTCAGAAATTACAGCATTTAGAAGTACCTGTACATTGAACCTCTGCGCCAAAATCCAGTTCCAAAATGAGCAGCCCAAAGTCGCTTCGTCATTGCTTCGCCTTTAAGCAACTTACTATTTTTATTACGATCATTTACCGTATCATCGTGTTTCATTAACCAGCCGAAAATTGCTGTACAATCACGTAGATAACAATGCGGATGGACCTAAATTAATAAGAAAAGTGTAGGAATTCAATATCTGAAATTTAAAAGGATAAAATTTTTCGTTCCTAATTTACAGTTCGATGGAAAAGAAACTATAATTATAACTAAACTGGAGATCTGTATTTAAATGTCTTAAGCAAAGGACCTGATGTGTGTGCCATACAATATCAAAATCATAGCAAGGCGTCAAAAATTGATCCGTGTAAGTTTGTTTTAACAATAGAAAATTGAGGTATCGTTCTACAGCGTCACTAATAAATTTTGGTGACGTATAATGCGGCAGTGAGATCTGAATGATGAAGCAAATGTTTTTTTTTTTTGAAAACTGATGAAAATTAGGAAAACTTCAAATTCAAAATTTAATGGAACAATGGAGTTGATTTGCTCATCTTTTTCGAAACATCTGACTAAACTATATACTTCAGTGGAAGTACCACCTGATAATTAAAATTACGCTGTCGTTGTGCAGCAGCAGCGATATCATAAGATGATCTTGATTGGTACGGCTGGTGGTTATTGATTTTGGAACTCAAAAAATCGTAAGGTTCATCGCCGCAAAAACTTTGCCAAATACTAACGGATTGTTCATACCGTTGCTGAATTTCATCCGAACTGAGTAGTTTATGATCAACCATGGTACCACATATTGTTTCACAATCCTGAAAATCATTCAGATAACAGGTAAATACTTTTGTTGTTAACTATAATGTTGTCACTGCCGCATAATCCGTGTAAATTACATCAAATGAATTATAATCGGATTTATTCATCAGACACTTTGACAAATAAATTTTGACAAAAAAAAAAAGATCCACAGTAAACGAATGCTATTTGTTGAAATTTTCAATTTATTAATAATTATGGGAAATTGAAATGAAACAGTAAATGGTAGAATAAAAAATGAAATGTTACTCTAAAAAATCGCCCCTATTCTGAACAGACGAACCTGTTGATAATGTATTGGACTAAGCATATGACAATGCCAAACCCAATGAACATCCAATGGCGGTATATTTCTGATATCTGGACGTGCTGCCTGCAAGAAAAGTTAACAAATGACGGAGAAAAAAAAAAAAATCCACCCCATTAACGTTTCATATAATTATTGATTCACTTTATTTTCTCTTTTCACTTAGTCAAAAGCATGGATAAGTTCATCAGTTAATCTCATCAATTAATTCAATCGATGTGCACCCCCATTAACTCTATTATTCACTCTTTCCACTTTCCAAAAGTTTCTAAAAGAACTTCGATCAGCAAAATTACCAGTGTAAACCTATCATCAAGCAATTTTTATGCCTACTTCTTCTTAGCCATTTCATTCCTATATAAAGTCAATCTCACAGTCTCATTTTATACTAACTGTAAGTAATCAAATGTCTATGTCCCAAATTCAAGTACTATCGTTAAGTTTTTAATCTATAAGGGAATCTGAAAAATAACACCAAATCATAAGAACGCCAACTTTTTCCAATGGTTTAGATGAAGAGTAAGGAAGTAGATTAAATTGCTAATAATGACATCTGTGTTATCTTAAGATTCTTCAGAAGTTCAGATTGTCTTCAGATTCCCACTTCTTATTTTATTATACTGTTCTTGTACGTCAAGGAATCAAAAATAGTTTTTTAAAAATAGTAGGTTCGTTGGATAAAGTGCTCATTTGGAGTTCAAGAAAGTAACAAAGTGATTCAACATTTAGTAACCAACTCCACAAAAACTCTAATAGCTTTCCAATTCTAAATGTTGAATCATTTTGTTACTTTTTACTACAAGATATATTTTGTTTTTCTTTTTTTGAAGATCTGAGTCTGACCTCATGAAATCGTCACAAATATCCCAAAATCTTCATAGTAATAAACAACTTAGAAATCTTACTTTTTCAATTTTCCATTCATATTTAAAAATTTTATTAAGTGAAATAAGAACAACGACCTGTTTTTTTACAATTTGATAAAAAACCAAAATTCACATCCTGATTTTAAATATACCAAAATTTTAAAAAATTTTTAGCTTTATACATATATATATATATATTTGCATTAGAAAAATAATATTATGCAAAGAATCAATTCGTCTCTCAATGCTAGCATTGCTCAAAAGCTCTATTTCCGCACCTACATATTTTATAGAAATAGTACTGGAGTTAAAAAATTACCTGCATAGGAAGCCAAAAACATTCGTAGCGACGGACAGCATTTTCGATGACACTTTGTTCGTAAAGTATCGAAGCTTTGCGATCGATCATTCTCAAGAAATTAGCTTCCCGTTGGCTAGCCGATAATAAGTCGATAGAAATACATTTTTTCATTTGTTCGATATTTGAACGGAGAGTAGGTACAATTTGGTGGTACTCAGGAGGTTGAGAACCAGTATCTGTAGTGCTCATGTTTCCTATATCACAATTCCAGGTATTATAATTCACGTTACTTGGTCCCGGCAAATTAATAGCAGTGTTTGGCTCGTGCGATTCCATGTTTGCTATCTGAAATCATAAACTTGAGTCGCTAACACTCCCAAATAAAGGCTTTTATTTTCATCAGCACTACACTTTTCCAAGCCTCCCTCTTTTTGCTTCTAAATCGATAGAATGATGATGTTTCCAGGACTTTTTCTGAAGAAAGGAGGGGCAAAAAGGATAAAAGGAAAAGAAATAAAATAACGGTCGCAATTCTTTCAGGAATTAACTTTCCTGCATTTCTCCAACGGAATGCTTTCATTTGATAACGAGAAAGTCTCTCCCTCTCCTCTAGTCTGCACTAGTGCCTAACGACAGCTGCTGTACCGAGTGCTTACCCACACCACTACTACTACTAGTACCAATACTACTATTGTTACTACTACTACTACTACTGCTGCTGCTGCTGCTACTGCTACACTACTGCAAAGCCGTTAGGCAAGCTCTCAAGCTACACTAATGTCTTTAAAGCACAAAAAATTCTTCTTGCACCTCTAACGACGATTTTGGAGACACAAAAACCGCTACTGATTGCGATAGGAAGTAATAATATTACTTAGCTAGGGAATATCTATCTATCTATCTATCTATCTATCTATCTATCTATCTATCTATCTATCTATCTATCTAATCTATCTAATCTATCTAATCTATCATCTATCCTATTTCTACTATTCCACAACTCCAAGAACCCAACATGATACATCTATCACTAGTGAGAGGAGTGGTTCCTGTTGATGACACCAGCAAAAAGCACTTAAGACACTTCTGCTATGCCTCACATCAGTCTTTGAGATTCACTGCTACAGGTGGATCATCAAATGAATATAACATTTGTCGTCTTCTCCACTGAATTTCGAGCTGAAGCAAAACTTGTTATTCTTATTGCAAAACAACACATCAGCATCTTATCATATCATGAAAATCTTGATTTTGAAGTATTAAGCCGTTTGATAATATTATTATCATGCAATGCATCCGATCTATCAGTATTTGATCATGAGTATTAATGAAAAAAAAAAAAAAAAACATATGGAGAAACTTCAGAGAAACTTTTCTATAGTAGCATATTTCCTTCCGTCCAAATTAATTCCAGTTTTGAAGTTTTAGAGCCTGCGGCTGCTCTTTTCTTCCCATTCTCAATCATTTTAAATGAAAATAAATGTTCCTAGTCTAGCTGTCCCCAATATCTCAACATAGCAATATTACTAGGCCTTTGTGACAAATTAATCTAAACTCTTGGTTTTACTCTTGCAGAACAATAAATAAATGAATGAAAAAACACTGTTTGAAGTGCAACAATTCAGCTATGTGCTGTAAGTAGTAGAGCTTACGGAGGTTTGATTGCTTGACGATTCAAATTCTTAGAACTTATCAGTCGATGATCATTTTTCAAATACTAACGTATTCTCAATGATTTATCATTAAGCGCCCTCCAGCAACAGCACTGATCATCTCATTGCAATTGTTCTTTCGTAGAACATTTTCAGTATTTCTGAAAAAATCCAAAATTGATTCGTTGCATTTCAAGGCTTCTAAATATTTATCGCACAACAATTCAATATTCATATTATTCAAATTATGTTAAATATTTAATATCAAAAATGTTGATTTTTTAATTTCTTTTTAAAATCTGTGCATGCATTGTACTGCTATGAATTAACTGTAAATAAGTACTAAACTGGAAGATTATAGAATATAAATGAATGATGCAAAAGATACTTGAAGTAATAAATAAAAGATAATTAAAACAGAAAACTGAACTGTGTATTTTTGAATAGTTCTCATAACAGTTTAGAATTGTTCATATTATGGAAAATTCTGAAATTGTTGACAAACTTCGAAATATTACTTCTTGACTAGAAAATGGTGTATTAATTTTCCAGCTAATAAAACGAAACAGTTAGTCCAAATTTCCAAAAACCTAAAGTACAGGATTGTTTTATACTTTTTAGACATTGCATTTTACATAATGCCACATATGTATGTAAAGCTTTAAAAATATAGTTACAGGTAGTTGCAACAGCAACATTCCACAAAACTCGCAGTAAAATAACATATTGATTTACGTTAAACCAAAAAACGAATTAAAATATTGGAAAATAAGGAAAGACAGCGAAAATTTGGCAGTTAGATTCATTCTCACATATTTACAGTTTTTAAAATCCGAGAAATTTGGTAAAAAAAAAAGAATGAAATAAAATAAGGTTTATAAGCCATTCAGTATAATTAGATGTTAGTAATTTGATTCTTGCTTTTTTGTTTTTCTTCTTGTCTTTTACTAGTTTCCAATCTAAAAAAAAATCAAATTTAACATTTCCATCTCTGTTTTTATTAAAATTATATTATTCTTTTTAAAATCACGAAAGATTTTCCGGAAAAACTAAATAGCAATTCCCATCCTGAATCACTAGTTCATGTTATTAAATGTGATATCGCATAAGTTGCCGTATCTATTTAGCAGTTTTTAGTAACCAAAGAAAGTTTCTATAAAATTTGACATGTTAAGTTTCTACGAACTTTCTTTCAAAAACCGCTTTTATTAGGCATTAAAATCATCCTGGCTACACTCCAATTTAGCTTAACTAATAGCACTTTTATTACTCACCAATGTTTTCTGTTATCTCAGATGACCAGAGAGTTTCTTTTATTCTTTTCAATTCTTATGTTAATATCCCAAAGAACGGCATGTTTCTTATAAAACTTTTCCATAAATTATGCCACATATTACATTTTAATCATACTTTAAAAATTTGAAAATTTCGAAAGCGTAGTTTAATAATCCTTCTAAATCTTGTTCAAAAAATGATAACTGATTCTGTCCCACACCAGTTATTGTATTTCTACATATGTTTATTTGTATTTCTGTCCGAAACACACCACTCTTTTACTTTTTTGGAATATTTTTGGAGTAACTAAAAACGTTTTAGTCATTCCAAAAATCTTTAATCATTGAAAAATTTTAAATTAATCTATACGATTATTTTGTAATATGTCTTTTGCAACAGATTGTAAAACCTTTGACATAATTATTTTGCCAATGGGTAATGTCTTCTTCATTATTCAAAATCTTAATAGGATTTTGAGGACACTACATATTTAAACCCAATGTTCAAAATATGAATTTAAATTCATATTCACATTGAATGTTTTTATCAACAGCGACAATCAGCCACATAATTTTTAACACGAAATCATTTAAAAATGATAACAAATGCAATGATTTTCTAAAAGATTATATAAAAATATAGGTAATACCAATTAGAAGTTTCAGTGTCATCTAAACATCAATTCCTCTTTGATCCTTTTGTTTGCTAGCTCAGATTGTTGGCAATACTGAAGAGGATGTTCTCTCTCGAGTTCACTGAATTCATTGAAATTGTTGAGAGACTACGAAAAAACTACTCGTGCAACTTTGTCTTTCACAACAGTAACACAGTAGGATAAAATGGTTGCATTAAAAATGGGTCAGTTCAAAGAACCATTCAAAAGGCTTTTAAAACCAAGTACCATGTATACAATTAACAAGCTTCTATAACCGTATTGGATAGAATTCATTAGCACTTTCACCTTTTAATTCTAGTGTTCAACAAAGTAATTGAAGTTCTATATTTGATATTCTACATAGATCTTTTATCTCTGAGGAATATCCGTCATCACTGAATCTGTTCTAATATTATGTTAAAAGCGACAGCTCAGTATGCTTTTATTAGGATATTTATGTTCTGTTTTATGTTTACACAATATCTGCATCAAATCACACAAAATAATAACTAATAAGAAATGCCTGAAATATATGAAAGAAAATATGATTTCAGAGATTTTACAATGGGTCGATGTTAATATATATAACTCATGGATAAGAAAGTCAAAAAAAAAAAAAAAAAACAAACATATATACGGATATATACAAAAAACATATAGGGAATATAAGTATTAGGGAAAACGCTTCTTCGGTTTGAACCAATCTTCTACATCTTTGAAGAAATCGTCTTCTACCTTCCTCAACTGATCCTGGCTATTTTCTTCACGAACACCAGTTAAAAAATGATCAGCTTCATCCAAAAAGCGACTAAACAACTCTTTTGGTGAAGAAACCGCTTGGATCTAAAACAACCTTCTTTCGAATAATTTCAATTAAAATATTTTTAAAGGCTGCATTTCTACTGACTGCTCAATAATCACTAACTGCTCAGCTTTTTACTCAGTTCTTTTCTGTTCCAGTCTCAGAACAGCTAATTACTATTTTAACAGTTCATGTTATTTATAATCATTTTCTGAAATGTAATCTCCAATCTTCAGTTCCTGAAATCACACTTGATAGCCCCACTTTGGCTAAAGATACGGCGTTATAAGATTTGATTAAAACTTTACTTGACGATTTTGATCCAGGTAGATACCAACATAAACTCCAACAGCAAAGGATGCCTGAAAATCTTTGGATATCAATTCCCACATTTACATGCTAAAGTAATGAAGGCAAAATGACTAAATTCCAAAACGCCTTCCAGTGTAAGTATGGAATATATAGAAAAAAAAGACTTACAAGATGTTTCAACATAATCCAAAACGGGACGCAACTATATTAAACAAAAACAGAAATCTGACAGTGACCTAAAAAATATAAAAGAAAAAGCAAAGTGCACTCAGCAGAATTAGCATACATCATCTACGAATTTCAATCGATTTCGAAAATACCACAATTTGCCACTGAAGTTACATGATTAAGATCTCTAAAATCCACCCGATATAATATTAAAATCCTCAAACAACCATTTGTTGGAAGATGAGCCAAAAACTACAAATTTATCCTCTTAAATTCAAGTCAGATTTGTATATAGCTGGCAACAAAAGAAGCTTACACATATGTGCACCAAATGACAGATGGAAAATTTTTAAAATGGAAAAAAATGCTTCTACAATTTCTCAGTAATCTAGTAGTGGACATAACCATCTGGCATATAACATTCAGAAATAACACCAAAAGTCGTCATCTTTTTATTCATAAAAAATTTTTTAAAAAAAAGTATGTTAAAACAATGGATGTGTAACAACTTATAAGCGCATACAACAACAAAAGTACAAGAGAAAATTGAAGTGAAGAAATCTTTTATCAAAAAATCATTATATCTGATGCATTACTGCACAAGTTTATATGTTGATTTAAAATCCGAAAAATAAATATGAATTACCTTATGCCTTTGAAACAGTCTGGAGAACAAAACAAATTTACAATTGCATATTTTCGTCTCCAAAGTTATCCCAAATTTACATTCCCAACCCATCTATGTAAAAGAAATTTTCATAACTTTTAGTTTCTTAGCCTTTCTATCCAAATATGGCTTAAAGTCTAATAGTTTATTTTTACGGGGATTATTTTAATGTTTCTAGCAACGCTAAACAACTGGACGACTTAAAGTTGAATAACGTATGAAATAAATACCTTTAGACCAGCCTAACTGATTATCCAGAAAACAGAAATTCCAATTCCAACCGTCATCAAATCACTGATCTCTCTTGTTAAACCAACTTTAACGCCACTAGCTGTTCAAAAGTAAACGTCGTTTTTCAGGTTTTTCCACCTTTACGATATTTTGATGTATTTGGGTAAGCATAACATTATATTATTATACTTCGCTGAGAATTTCATAACCATTAAGTCCGATCTCGCACCATGCTTTATCTTCAAAAAATAACATCGTGATATCATTCCTACTATTTTCAGTAAGATTCAAAAGTTAGAATTTGAATAATTTCAGTTTAGACTTACGCCAGTATTTTATAGATGTTCCATTTTTTTATACCATTTCTGATTTCTACTAAATATATTTCATACTACACTAACCGGTCAGGGAAGGAAACTATTACCTAACTGAAGAACAATAATCCTATTCATACCAGAATTATCACTGAACCATGATTTACGTTTGTTAACTTCTACTTGGCCTTTCATAGTTTCCTCCTTCTTTATTCATTAGCAAAAAATATCTTCTTGGATTTTTTGGTCCAGAGACCAGAGGAGTCAAAAACGACTTGCTAAATTACTACTTAATAAGTAGCACAAGCACTACTACCCACTCCCCTTCCTATCCACCCAGAAAACAACCCACTACCTGCACTATTACCTTCGCACACCGATATGCAGACAAATGGCCAAACTCCACCACTTCCGCACAAAAGCAGACCGAATATTAAAAAAGGTTCAGACAGAATGCCGCGCTATGCAGCAAGTGAAATCACTAATGGATTTTTGTTTCATCCCAATGCGCATTGGAGCATATACACATGTCACAATGCATATTGGGCCTATTAGCTTGTTCCCGTCAACTAAAGACATCTAAGTAAGTGACTTGAACAATCAAATGTGGTATGTCTAACCTCAGTAATTCAGGTGAATTGCATGGCGTTGTTCGTTCGCAACAGATGCTTCCTTCATTGATAACGGATTAAAATCTGCCAGGAAATTTCTGAATTATCAAGGAAAGGAATAATTGAGCCTTTCCGTTCTTATACTCTCCAAGCCATTTCAGGTGAAGTTGTCGAAGATTACGACTAATACTCTGTGAACGTAATTCACACTGGCTTGGACAATGATCACTGAGTAGATCAGTTTCTTCTAATGACTGTTTTTCGCTTTTAAGAACATTCGAATTAGGAAAAGACGAGTTAATATACTTCTGGATTGAATGGAGGTGCATCTAATAAGAAATGTAAAATCCCAACTGGTAGTTTAGGAAGGAAGCGAAAGTAATTCAGTTTGCATTAGGATCACAAATATACAACGCAGTTTATATTAAATTTTCATTTTGTAAATATGAGATTAATTTATAAGATAAATAATCAGCCTTAAACGATTTTGTTAGTTTTTATCGGTTTGAAGAAAATCGAGAATTAAGGAGTTCATCATCAAAATTAAATTGATCTATCAATAATTCAGTAGCAATAATTCAGAAAGAAAATATACTGACAAATTATTCTGTAAATAAGTGTTGATTCTTACGGATGTTATCGTTAGAGGAAAAACAGTTCGTATAGGAAAGGAATTTTTTATTAAAATTCGATGTTATGGGGCATTGTATAAGCCATATTGGAAGTGCTGAGAATGTTAATGCTTGATGTTGTAGCTGAAAGGTCTCTCTTTTTGTGCGACATCAAATGTGTCTTCTAGTTGAAAAAGTAGGAACGATGAGTCTTAAAAATTATGCAATCCAAAGAAAACGACAAGAAAGCAGATTATTCTAATTTGAATATGTAAAGTAATAAAAGTATGTACATAATAGGATATATCAAGTGAAATAGAAGTTGGGTATGATTAGGTATGAAGTCAGGTATGGAATGTATTTTTTCATACGACATTTGTAAAAAGTTTGTAGTTTGGTATAGTCCTTTGAAAACAACTTATACCAACTATAAATTCCGGTATTACTCATTGACACATCTCACAATGCTTTAAAGTTTTATGTATCTTTTGTGAGTATGATATAGTGTGTACGATTTTATTCTACTGAATCTTGTGGCAGCAACATTGAGCAGGCAGTAACAATTATTAAACTTACTATTGCTGCCAAAACTTCCAACAATTAAAATATTTAGATTTGGTACTATCCTAATATTCACAATCATAGCAAAGTATTTTTATAATCGTACCAAATTCGATAGTAGCATTATAAACTGTTAACAGCAACTAAAAATAAATGGTCCAAAAGAATATTACTGTTTATGAAATCTACATAGCAAAAACTCAAAAATGTAAAGAAGCAATCAAGAAATTCGAGTTTTCAACCAGTACTCTTAATTCCACTGTTGCACTATTCAAAACACGCCAAGACACATTTTGGAGGCTCACTCTTTACTCTGCTCGTTTGGATTTGGTCTTACCTTAATTTTGCCCATTAAATCATCGAAAGCCGAGTCCAAAATATCGTCTGCCTCATCTTTCACTTCCATAACATCTTTTACTTCCGGTACATAAAACTGTAGCATGTTTTTGATACCAGACTGAAGTGTCACCGATGAACTTGGACATCCCGTACACGACCCCTGGAAAGTATTACTACAGCTGGAACTAAATGATTTTAACTGCCATTTTAAAGGAAGGGAAAGTATACTTAATGTTGGAAATGAAATCAAATTCGTAAGAGCTGAAAATGCGAGGATAAAAACAGCAACAAATAGCAAAGTCAAACAAAAGAATTCTTCACAGGAACTCTCAACTTCCTGTAATCTCAACCTGCATTTTAAGATGCACTACACCATCGAGGAAACCTTTGTATATCACATCACCGCCATCTTCTTGTACCATTGGTTTTATACGGCATTCCAGCAATTCCTTGATCATTGCCACTGTATCACTATCCTCCGGATGTATTTCTTAAATATCGGGAGGTGAAATAAAAAATCAAACTGCGTAAGTTCGAAATGAACGCTTCCTTCTTTCCTTACCACAGAAACACTACATTAAGAAATCCTTAAAAACCCACCAGTATCCTCAGGACCTTTCAGCATTTCACTTTCATTTACGATTGGTTTCTCGGATTGCAGATAATCCATAAGCACTGCGAAAATTTCAGGTTTTAAGAGTGTCCAATCATCAATCTCCTTTTGTTTTGTAATGGTAACATAATCCTCACCAAAGAAAACGCTTTTTATGCCATTAATTCGAAACAGTTCCCTATAAAAAAGAAAATATTTTCCAAAACGAAAGTAATCCATTTTTTATTGGATTACTGTATGTTTAACATAAGTTTTGAATAAAATACTAAAGAACCATGAAATTGTATTTTTTTTTAATTCAAGAGTAAGGAGGATAGCATCTACAATGATAAATCTGTAAGCAGAAATGTTCTCGAAATTGAGATTTAATATGGAACCGGAGGATATGGAAGCTTACATGGCCAAAGGACTTTTCTTTGCAGACATGAAGTTACCGAAATCAAGCGTTCCTTTACCTTTTCCCATAATCATTTTACCCGGAATAAATTTAAGAGTTGCTGGATTAGGAGTTTCCTGCACCTGGATAAACATATTTCGAACTGTAATTTTAACTCTTTAATGATTGGAAAGTATGAAAAGAAAGTAAACAATGAATTGTCCATTATTCCAAAAAGTGAAAAATGTTTCAGCTTATTTTTCTAGAGACTCTGGAAAGAAGTCAGATGATATTAATCCTAGTTTACGTCAATTCCCCAGTCAGTCGTAAGACTAGACTTCACTGAAATTTACTTCGTTGAATTAATGATGTGGATGGTGAAACATCTAGCAAACATCGATTTTTGTTGACAATTAGAAATAAATGTTGATCCCACATTTTCACAAAACACTTCATGCAGGCTTTTCAATAGCTAATAAATCGGTACCAATTCAGCGTCAATATAAGCTCTGAAAATATGTATCATTGTTTCATCATACCAGCTTTCAGCCTTTTTAACCCCAAAAGCAAACATACCAAAATCAAGAATCCAGCAGGGAAAAAATAAAGGACCTTCACTTTAGCTTCACGTCTTAGTAAGATGTCCAGCTGAAGCGCACTAACAACTGAGCACTTAACTCGATTCTTATTTAAGCGTCAATTTTCAGCATTGAAAGTGCCTTAAAGTAAACGTTAACAGTCGTCACTTTTTACTTCACAAGATATTGAAGCTTCCGGATTCTCAAGCTCTAACTCAGTCATTTTACCATCTATTATATTTACTTTTTATTTCATTATGTAATTGCGTCCATTTATAAACCACTGAAAACTGATTCCTTTCCTATCGTGTGTAAAACTAAAAATAAGAAGGAAGTGAGAACGTATACATATAAATACAGCAAATTCAACACTTGCTTTCTTAGAAAAAAAATTTCTTTAATTTGAAAGTTACGAATAAAACAGGCAGATATTAAAAGGGTTATAACGGAAGTCAATTTCGAACAATAGCTTACAGTTGCGAAAATGAGTTTAATGGCATTAAGCATAAACATCTTAAGGATGTAAAACAAATTTATGTCAGTGTAAAGAACAACAAATAGAACAAGCAGCTGCCAACGACATTTCTATCAGTAAAATTATAGATTACTATGTTGGAAGGAAGAGTAAAACAAGCATAATCGAAAGGAAAAGAAAGGGAAACAGAGATCACATGGATATTTCAAAAGAAAAATTGAAATCCTACGCAAAATTTAGAAATTTAAGGATTAAACTGGTCGTTGCACAATAGTCTCCCAGCATCTCTGAAATCAAGGGCTGAGGATAATCAAATATACTGGAGGTAGGTGGCAGCGACTCAACAACAGAATAAGGTCACTGCCTTCATTTATTCCACACCAAGAAGTTCAACATCAAAAATCAAAGTTGAATTTGGTGGTATAGCGCCTGGAATTCCTCGGCTACCATAACCAAGATCTGATGAAACCGTCAACTTCGCACGTTGGCCAACAGACATCTGTAAATTATGTTTTTAAGCTTGACCATTATTGTCTTACCAATTTGTTCAAAATTTATTAGCTGTCGAAGATTAAGTATAACAAACTTTAATGAATAAAATTTGAAAGAAACTGCAATAATTAATTCGAAAATGTCTAAGAAAAAAACCTTTGCAACACCTTCGTCCCATCCTTTGATGACTTCACCTGCGCCGATCTTGAATTTGAATGGCTTGCCACGTGAACGTGAACTGTCTACCTAAAAGCAGTTTCACTTAAGCAAAAACAAACAAGAAACAAGACCGTAAGTAAAAGAAATGCGCCGTAATTATTGAAATGATTGGAAAATTTACCTCTTCACCATTTTCTAACGTCAATACATAGTGACAGGTTACAGTTTGTCCCGTTTTCGGGAATGTTTGACCTGAAAATACTGAAGATCTATGAAGACATCTCATTCTTGGTTAAATATTTCATTATTGCACTACATAAAAACATAAAAGAATATGCACTCCGTATATTTCAAATAACTCAAGCAAATATTGGCTAGCACCCACTATCTCAAGACCAGATATTTCTAAAAATTGAACATAACGTTAGAGAGGCGAGTGAAGAAAATCAAATTATGAAACTATGATTAATATTAGCGATCAAAATGTGGAGCAATAAACCAACCGTCCCCTTCTTTGTTGGTATCGATTTTCACCGGCATTCTGAACTCGGACACTCTGTAAAATATGGGCGTAAATTCACGACTACTATGTTGGATAATTCGCATAAAGTCGGGAAAAAATGAATGCTATGAATGAAATCCATTTGACTGAACGAAATTAAACCTACACCCAGACTATTCTGAAGAACACGCAGTAACAAATCCAAATGCCCCCTTCCACTTCCAACAGTGACGCGCAGCGGAAATGACAGGAAAGACATAGAACACAGATACTAGTTTTGTGTTCTACATAGGATAGGTGAAAGAAAAAGAGTGCACGAGTCAACGTTTTGCAAAGTCAGAGCAAATACGATATCTAAAATGTAAGAGAAAGATTGAGAGCTGCTGGAAAGCGTACTTCCCATCCATAGGAAGGAAGGAGTATAGAACACTTTTACAACAAACAACCAAATAAGATTGTGGACAATCCGCTTCACAATTAAAATGACCTCACTAACATCTTAGCATTCTCATTTAGAGATACTTTCCTCAAATTAGAAGACAAGAAATACGCAATCAGCCTATTTACCGCCTCTGACACAATCCAGCTTATTTCACTTAAGAGATGACACTATAGATGAAGAGATGATGTTAGTAAAGGTAAATACCAATAAGTCAGCCAGATTCAAAAGCCTACTTAATATAAACCCTTTCGATATATAATCACTCTACAGAGGGAATGGCTAAGCAACACCAGCCCAGTTTTTGACTGCCTAACACTAAAATGTATTTGGAAACCACGAAAATACAAACATTACTCAGCATTCGATTCGTATTACTTTCTGCTAACTTCGGACTGTTAAATGTTAATAGTCCTCCAGCTAATTCCAATCCTTTCTCGGGACCAAATATATAAGGATTAGGTACAGCATTCAATTACTCTAAACTTCGAGAATGAACAGATTATTTTCATAAATTATGCACCAAAGACACTATTAAACTGCAAATGTTTTCATAAGAATTCAACAACTACTGGTTTAGAAAATTTCCAGATCCTACCGAGACGTTTCACCTCGAAAAAACGAGTTTGCTCATCAAAATTAAATTAATCGGGAATTTATTTAAGAAAATATAAGTCAGGTTTATACAATGATAACATAATCTTGAAAGCGTAGCAAAGGCACTGGCAACACAATGAGATCACCGCTATCCAAAGCTAACACTGCATCATGAAATCAGGGACCGATGATAATCACTCGAACATAGAATCAGTGGTCCTGAAATATACTTAACATTAATATCATACTTCATTTTATTTTATTTTTTTTGGAAAATGGCGGAAGTTGTAGTGAGTATCACTTCTGTTGTATTTTGGATTTAATCTCTGGTGAAAGTTAGATTTCGCTTAAGTCTTACCTTAAAATTCCACAAGTATCCGAAGAAAAACTTAACCAGATATAATTAAATAACCGACTTACATCCATGTTTTCGGTTTTTTAACAATTTTTCTTCCTTGTTCGTTAAATGTTGCATTATATTCATTTTATAATAGAATTTGAGAATCGTTGTTACTTTTAATAAAATTACCATAGATCATAACACCCTCCTCACTTAAGCTAATCTCCGTCTAAACTAACTAGTGAAAGAGCTACATAGTCAGCAAATTTCAACTCTTTTCTCTATTCCTAGACCTTAAGCATATTCTCTGATTTTTAGAATCAAAGCCAAACAGAAGTACACCAACGAGTGACACAAACTCTCCACCAAAATCAATTATATAGATGAAATAATCAGCATTTTCTGCGTTTAAGTATATGATTAAATTATTTAAATAGCACAGCTCTAAATACGCTTCTTGTGCACTTACGTAAAATCTAAGATTTCACAAGAAGATATATACTGCAGTGCTGCTCACCAAATATCAACTATTAAATAAAGCTTGTTGAAAGCTGGCGAAAATAGGATTTTCCCTTCCTTTTGTAGCAAGATTTTTTGCAGAAGACTTTGGAAGTAAAAATTTTGTGATCACTTCCAAAATCTCATTAGCATCATCCTCTCCCTGTAATATTTAGAACTACTACTATTTCTATCTATATTCTTGACAGATTTTTTTTCCAAAAACTTAAACAAAGTAGTTCGCATATTAAACCGAAATTAGCATATCATTATTGATTTAAATGTTAGACAAAATCCCACATTAACAAAACAATATTTTACTGGTGGATTCGAGCAATATAATTGTAAACAAATTTTAACACTGAGAGAAGCTGCGGATGGGCTGCTATATTTAATGATTCTTTCTTAAACCTAATATCTTAATTGCTGAGGTAAAGTAAATCTAGGTGAACTATTATCTTTAAGAATATGGCCACCAAAGTCAAGGATGGCCTCCATTTTTAATAAACAATGCAGGAAAAAAAAATGAAAAAAGAAAAAAAGAGTTCTAATATCGGAGAGAAAATATTACGCATGCCGCACACACAGATTTTCAATTATTTAAGCCTATGCAGCACCACCCGCAACCGATATTATTAGATAACGACTAAGTTCTAGAAAAATGAATATTACCACTTAAAAAAAGACAAAAAAGCAAAAATAATACTTAACACTGAAAATTTAAAAATTTAACACTGAAAAATTTAATCTGTGTTTTTTTAAAAATTTGCAGATCTCAGCGTGACCATCCAATTTTTCTTTCTCATTCATCACTTTCATTTGAGAGTTTAATTTGAAGATTGCCGATTATTTAAGTTTAGCTTTTATGTTTGAGTGAGGAAGCTCGATACCACCTGTAAGATAAATTATATTTCATCGTATTGATTATATATATATATATATATATATATATATATATATATATATATATATATTGCTTTACCTCCTGACAGTGTTCAAACAGCTTGCTTATTATATGATATTGCAGTTTTTTAATGAAGATTAACACTTTTCAATAACTGTTAAATAACCCAATGAAAGTCAAAATAAAAATAACAGAGATTAAATTGACTGGATGAGAGAAAGATAAGAATTACACGTCATAATCAAGATAACATCAAAAGCAAGCTGACAAGAACAAATATTTCAAGAACAAAATTTTTAGAAAAACTCGAAGTCACCTTTGTTACCAGTTTAATTTTGCCACTCCCACCAGACCGTTAGAAACCCATTTAAAAAAAATACAACTAACCATATTTGTATTGTTACAAAATGCGATGATTTGCTGAGATCCGTAGATCAAAAATTGGAGGGGAATTGAGGAAGAGCCCAAAAAAAGTGGCTAAAAACATTTTTAATTTGGAATTGTGGGATTATTGAAGACATGGGTTATTCAAGACTGCATTCAATATGGACGATACCTAAAATAAAAAATGATGAAAACCTAGTAAATGTGGTAGTAATAGGGGATTGCTTAGTTATTTCGGAACAAAAAAATATTTATGCTTACCCTCCACGATCACCACCCCCTCGAACGCCTCTGTAAGCACCACGTTGCATTCCTCCTCGATCACCACCACGTCCACGGAAACCGCCACGTTCTCCGCCTCGACCACCACGGAAACCTCCTCTCCCCCCTCGCATTGCTCCACCACCTGGCTGATCGTCACTCCCATCTTCTCCACCATCAGCTATAAGGAAATTTTAGAAAAGAATCACTGATCACTAAAGCTCGGAAATCTAATCAACATCTTATTTAAAAAACCATCCGGAGACTCATTTAAAACCTTACCTTTCTCACCGCCATCGCCTGCTCCTCCTCCCTGATTGCTCATTTTGTCAAAAGTTTCATCTCGTGTCTAAAGATTAGTTTTAGTTTTTTTTTTTTACATACTAATTAAATAAAAAAATTGCACATACTAATTAAAACAAGCTCACACTAGTGTACGAAACATCCGCAGTTTAACTGATGTACCAATTAAGCTAGCGTTTTAACTATTTAGAAGTATAACTTCGTCGGGAAAACTAATAAAACAAACTAATAAACCTGCCAAGAAGCAATTAACTAAACTACCCATAGTACTGATCGGACTGCAGATTAAGCCAGCATCTTACAGAAATTAAAAGTCGGATTTTGGCAACCAAAGCATTCAAGCCCATTACAAAACACCAATATTATAAGAATTTCGTAGAACAAACAAAGCAGTTGAAGAAAAAAAGGATTGAAGAACCTACTGGTTGCAAAGTACCAGAAAGCTGTTCTAAAACGCCTGCTATCCGCTGATATGCAACATGTGCTGGCGCAATTGTTTCTACTTTTACATGAAGTGGCCCACCATAATGAGCATATTGCGGATCTCCACTTTGCAATAATTCTTGTTCCTGTTCAAAAAGAAAATTTGACCGATTTTTATCTTCTTAGGTGAATTCCAATCAGGGGAAGTGCTTAATAACAGTGATCTTTGATTCTTTCGCTGGTCATTATCTTGTCATGGTGGACACAAACAAAATAAACAATACTTTGGCTCGATCTTTAGTGGAACCACGTCCAAGTACATAAATGTGACACTTGAACTGTTTCGCCATAGCCTGCAACGTTGCTCCTTTTGGCCCCAAAATTTTACCAACAAAGTTGAAATGCGGGTGCCTGAAGTTGGGAATCAGGACCTGGAAGAGGAAGTCTTTATTTAAAGAATGCTTTAAATATTAATCTTATAATTCAGTTTCGTCTCCGGCCTTAATGATACATTTAAAATAATACAGTACTGGTGACAAGAACAGCAATCTACACTGGCGGATAAATTAAAAAGAAAACCTTTTTCGAGACTTTAATTGGTTTAGCAATATCAACTTCGAGCCATTCTGGATCAATGGAATTTTCCAATTTATCTGCTTCAGCAGCTAGTAGTCGTTTTGCATTTTTGAACTGTTCACCCCATTCGCCGCCTTGTTCCATCAGTTGCTGCTCATTGTGTATTTCACGAATCACGACCTGGAAACTATTCAATATTGGAATTTCCAAATATTCGCTGCCTTCTGTTATAGGAAATATCAGCAACAAAGCAAGAGATCTGTGTTGTGGAATGACCTGAACAATTACTTGGCTCCAATCGACTTTCAGATAACCTTGAAGTTCAAAGTAAAGATGCACATGCAAAAATTGCACCTACACGCTAAGAGCACAGCTTCTGCTAAACACTATTAAATCTCGAAAAAAAAAAAACTTCCTTTCCTTTCATATTTGTCAGTATACTATGGAAAACGCAGCCAAAATTAGGGATATGCTGTTCATTATCGTCATCTTCACATTCTTTCTTACAATAATGGATTCACAAACCTGGATTTCCGCATCAAGTGGACTTTGGGTATCCATATAACCATAACCACCATAACCACCATAACCTGGAGCACCATATCCTCCATAACCTCCTGGAGCACCACCATAACCACCAGGGAAAGCTCCCGGCGGTCCACCCTGAAGTCATTCCGAAATTAATCTATTCATCAAAATAACATGCATTGCCAATATTAATTATTAAGAATGCAAGAAAATTATAAATAAAAAACTTTTTTGAAAAAAAAATGAAAAAATTTTTCGATTTAGAAACGCAAGTCATCAGCTTATGTTTCCAAATCGCCATCGACTTAATAATCAAGGTCCATGACTCAAAATACTCAGTAAATAATTAAACTTTGATGTCGCCCTAAGTGAAAGCGTTTCTTAACTATCCAGCTAAAATCTATCATAATACAGACACATACCGCTCCATTATATCCAGCTCCACCACCCGCCGCATTGCCATAATGAAAATCTGCTCCTGGTGCTGCTGCTGCTGCTGCTGTAGCGGCCATTTCTTCTATTTCCCTTATTTGGATAACTTCAGCTCGCGGAGCGGTAAAAACGAGCTAAAATCTGAAGGATTTAAATTTTAAGCAACTTGACGTGCAAAATAATGAGGCTCAAAATGAACTTGGATAAAGATTTCACAAAATTCCGCACTTCTTAAAAGAACCCTAATAACTCTGCTCGGTACAAACATCGATAAATTACTGAAGAGCTGCGCCGCTCTTCTTTCCGCGCAACGCGTTAGTGTTGAATAGCAAATGCGTCTTGAAATGGATTTACTTTATTCAGTAATTCTAAAAAGTGCCAAAGATGAGGTTAAGTTAGCTGAACTCATCCAACAAATATAGCGAAAGAACCTTCCTCACACATCCATCTTTAAAACCACTCCCGAGATACCTCGATGCTTCCTGGTATGAAACAAGTACCGTACCTAAAAATGTTTTGCGATGCCTTCAATGAAAAAATTCATCCCTCGTTATTAACATTACTAACAACTGCTTGGCTACAACTGTTAACCACAGGGTGGATTCGTAGGAGAGCCTTTAATAAATTTCCCCCGGGATTTCTTGATCACCTACTTTAAACAGCACCACTAAACTACTAACGATTTGTTAAGTGATACCGAAGACAACATTTCTGGAGTCCTCATTCCCTTCCATCTCTTTTCATCCTCGAATAAAATTAAATTTGTTTTCCAGTTCTACTTTTATTCCTGCAATCACTCTAGCATTGTATTCTGTCAGTATTAGCGTTTTTTTTTCTCTCTTACTATCTCATTATACTTTTCCCAGTCATATCTAATGATTTCCGTATAGATTTCAAATATATTTTCATCGATTATTTGCAGGACATTTCGAAATTGGTTGGAATGAGATAAAGAATGTAAAAGTTGCGATGGATGTGAATTTTTCATGAAGAGTGAAGTTTATGAAAAATTTGAAGTTTTGATTGTCAGAAGAGTCTGGAGTTTGTATAAACTCGGTCGTATTATTATATTCCTTATGTCTTCATAATATGTTTCCAGTCCAAAACTTGTAAAACGGATAAGTTTTGTGGTCGAAGTTATGTTTAAGACTTGACTGAGCGACTTATGATTTTTTGCAGATTTTATGTTGCTGAAACCGGAATAAAAATTAACATACATAACCGTGTACAAATAACTCAGGACATTCATTTATTTCTATGTAAGCGAACTGGTAGGAGTATATCGATTGCACAAGAGGAAGCAACGTACATGACGATGTATGGAACTTTAATTTATGCAGCAGAAAGTGGGTCGAATGAGAAAAAAGAGAAAACATGCTATTTTGCTTTAACTAAGAGTCATAACTTAAGTCGTTAATGTTCAAGTAATTTATATTCTGACAGCAATTTTTCAGCTTTGAATGTTCTTGCAATTCGAGGCATTTCCTCATCCATTTGCCGAGTTTGGCTCGTCAACAATTATTTCTGTGTCTAGCTAGCTTCCTACTTCCGCATTTATTTCATTTCTAATAGCGCTCATAATGTTCTTGCAAGCGGTAGTTGTCTTTTCAGTGTGAGCAGTAGAATATGCAGCACTATCGATTTTTGCATCTTCAGTGTTAGCAGTGATCCATTCGTGCTGTCTTATGCATCCTTGCGATACCTTTATTCCTTTCAAGGCTTTTGTTGATTTTTTAATCGGGCAGTTTTAGAATCTTAAATTATTAAGTTATCCATAGTTCATACTTCCATCTTACATTAGTGTTAATGATATTAAAATGTTACTGTTATCCATGTTACTAATATTAAAGCATTTTTACATATGGGAAAGTTAAACTCGCAGAATGTTGAGATAGTGTTTTGGTATTATGATAATCCCTCCAGCCTTAGCAGTGGTTTTTCGGTAATGTGGAACCTAGCCAATTCGTCTTACATATCTTTTCATTTTATTGTTCTCATATTTTATTTTTCTGACAATAAACTGTTGTAGAGAATTGCCTTTTCAAATCTTTCATGTCCAATTAACGAAGCTAAATGATATTTGAACGAATTGTTTTTGACATCTATGCATGGCCTCTTCATATGTTTTTTAAAACTTTCATCTTTGATGTTTTGCATTGACTTTTTTCTTTCCATTTCTTTGCTTCCTTATTCGCTTGTTTTCTCTAGTATTTATTATTCATGTGTTCCTGATTCAATAAACAGTAGTTTATAAATATTGCACGACCATCGTTTTACACAGTTAAAAATTTCATTTTCAGTTTTCAAAATTAACAATGGCAGGAATGAACGTCTGGCTTTTTTATCCAAATCTGATTGGCTATTTACGCATTCTCCTAGCTTTGGTATCATGTGAGGCTATGACCTATGCACCATGGCGTGCGGCTATTTGTTACATTCTAAGCGCTGCTTCGGATGCTGTTGATGGATATGTGGCGCGGCTGTATAATCAGTGTTTGTTAAATCTTTTTGTAAATAAGTCAAGTTTCCTAATAAACTGAAACCCCTTGAGAGTATTAAAATTGAATATTTTACATTATGCATAATTCGAAATGTAGTTTTTCCAAACCTGGACGGGTTTTGCTGGAAGTGTACTTTATTAAGAAAGTTTGTGTCTAGACTAGTTTTTTAGTTTATGTAAGAATTATTTCATTTCTTATTCCACTTTAGCATCACGTTTTGGCGCTATGCTGGATATGTTAACAGACCGTTGTGCCCTCATGGCATTGGTAATATGTTGCGGATGTTTCTATCCTGATTACCTGTTTTATTTCCAAATGTCAGCCGTGGTTGATATTGCTTCGCATTGGCTTCATTTTCATGCTAGCGATGTGACGGGTAAAATGACTCACAAAGTATGTTTTGAGTAGCGAATACGATTCAGAGCTAGCATATGTTGTATTTAAATCATGTGTTGGAAGATGCATTGTGCTTGATTTAAAATATCATTCATTCATCAAACCATTCCGCTAACGTTTTTTGAGAGTACGACTTAATATGAAAGGTGATGGAGAATATTCTTTTTATGAAAGAATCGTAGGTGAGAAAAAGAGATAGAGACATGTTTGAAGGATTTTCTACATAATATTGAAATCAAAATTAGTTTTTATTTCCAGCAATCTTCAAATACAGTTTTGCATCTCTACTATACATCTCGATTGTTCTTGTTTGTGATGTGTCTGGGAAACGAGACGTTCTATAGTTTGGTATATATCAGTCATTTCTGGTCTGGTCCAGGTGTTCATGGTTTTCATCTTATTCCATTCCTAACGGTACTTTTTTTCCCATTTGCGTTGCTAAAATCGATGATTAGCTTACTTCACCTTATCATTGCCGCACAAACATTAGTAGCCAAAGATCAGGAATTAATTAAGCAAAGCAAATGAAAAGTGATTGTTTATTTTGGGTTAGTTATTGGTTTCTGTGTTTTGTACATAGTTTTTCGTTTGTTTAAGTAAATTAATAGTATAATAATTTATAACAATTTTATAATTCAGTCTAGTTTATAAATATCCAAATGCTGCTCTGCTTTTGATTTACAGCATATGTTATTTTTAAAAATGATTATTTTACTTCCTCCTTCAAATACGCTATGGCTTTTGCAATAAACATCATTAAATGTTCATATTTTCTTAATCTGATAAACAGTTTACTGCAATTTCAGTCACTGTGAAGTTCTCTTAATGGAAATACATTTTGTATAATCCTTTTCTAGTTTATAATATGAATCTTCCCATCATTCAAAATGTCTATTATTTTACCATTCCGTACTTTTCCTTCTTCTTGTGCTGAAAGGCTTTGACGGCATTTCGGGTCTTTTGTTATTCACTGTTGTAGTAATTTAAAAATGGTAAATATTTGGTGGCATTTGTAAGTTGAAGCTGTACTCGAATATGGTCATCGTCAACTGCAGCTTGACATATATCGCATTTGTATATTTATTACTACTAAAACGGAAATATTCATGATGGATTTTAAAAGGATTGGTTGAACTTTTCAGAAGCCATGTTGAGAGTTGATAGTTCTTTTCTGAAATCATAAATATTTTTAACATGCAAAATATTCTTTACTCATTGTTAGTAGTACTACTGTTATTTTGTCATATTGTATTCCAAATTAACAATTACCGGTTCTTTTGTTTCTATACATTCCATTTATGATAATTGCATGTTTTTTATAAAATTTCATATTTCGTTTTTTGCTCGAAAATAATTTGAAGTAAGTTCTTGTTCTGATTCATCGGCGAATCGTACAGGAGTGAAGACTATACGATCTTCCAGGCACTTAGCAATATTAGTACAGGATTTAACGATTTTGTCGAGTTAATCTGGATTAAAAGCCTGGTATTAGAGTGAATCATTTAAAATTATTAAAAGAAATTCCTTGTGGATGCAGACGTTCGATACATTGTTACAACTGTCCTTGTGCATAATAATTGTCCGATCAAGTTCTCCTTTGTCTGTATCACAGTAAAACATGATTTCTTTTCAATAAAATCTGTTCAGCGTAATACCGACAGAAGGACTGAGCATGGCATTTGGGAAGTGGATGAAACGTAATCATTATACAAAATTTCCGTGAATTTAAAGGAAGAGATTTATGGATTCCAGTAGTTCTTTCGGTTTTTCTTAGACTATTCCAGACGATTCCTGAGTCCATTTTGATTTATTCCTAGTTTCGAAATTCAATAATTCATCAAACGTTGACTGGCGTCTGTTCGGCACTTTTCCAACCTGTAGTTTACACGTGAAATGTAATTTATAAGCTTTCCCAAATTGCTTAATATTATTTTATATATCTTTGAAGCGCTACAGACAAAATCTGCATAAATTCTGAATAGTCATATGGAATCTTATGATTGTATGCGCCAATCCGCATTTAATTTTGAAATCGTTTAAAGCAATCCATATTTCAGCGACAAACATTGGGAACTAATTATTTCTTTATGATGAAGCCTCGGTAAATTCTGTTAAAATTACATTCTAATCATATCCTGATGTTCAAGTCAACATATGATTTACATTTACATTAAAATTGAAGAGTAATATCTAACCAGATGCTCAAGAAATTAAGGACATAATTCCTGAAATCAGTGAAATGACACTTGTGTCAAATTCCACTTCCTCTTGAAGCTACAGAGTATCATTGTCCTCCTCCACTTTCTTAGACTTTCCTTAACCACAATGAATACATAATTCATGCAACAAGTAAACACTGTATAGTATGACTAATGTGGAGGCAGGATTTTTGTAGAAAAAAGTTTGATAGATAAAAAAAATGATAGCCAGTGCAGGAAAATGTCCAGCACTTTCATAGCTGATTGATTGTTCACTCATTTATGATTTATCACTGCAATGTAATGAAATGAAAGAAACGAGTGCACAAATTCTTGTGTGAAAAAGCCTCCTTGTACAAAAAAGTGAGTTGAGACGAAGAGTCATACAAAGTAAAGCAATTTCGGAAATATCTCGAGATTCATAAAAACTCCGTCCTACATAAATTTTAGGTCATGCATGATTTAGCATATAATGCAATATGTTAAAAGTCAATTGTAACTTTTTCTTTCACAAACAACCTTTCGATTACAATCAAATATCTGACAGATTTTTGTTTATTTTGAAGGAATTCTGATTATATGAAATGAAGGTCAGAATAGTTATGAGTTTCTAAGTATTTCTTGATTTAAAGGTCCAAAATCCCACATATTTCTGAATTACAAATTCCCGTTGCTACTATGCATCACAACTGTTTCTGTACTTTCCCCGCGATTTCTTTCGCTAGTAAAATGAACCAGGCTTTTCACTGATAAAAATTGTTTTAAAAAATTATTATTACTTCGTGCATTTACTAACAATTATTTATCGGCAAACTCCATTTACTGTAAATAGCATCACTTAAGAATATGACACTATCCAAGTCTATTCCTGAGAATCATATAAATTCAAGGGTTGTGTGTGCAAATAATAGTGGAGAAAATCAGTCCTTATTTTGAAAGGTAAAATCAGGCACTCAGTCGCCAAAATTCGAGTGTTATTTTCCACTAATACTGAAGCAGTGCTTTGCAGCAGTAGAGGAAGGAAAAAAGGAAGTGAAGGGTAACTAACTGTGATGTTGGAAGCATTAGGCCTTCAGTTATTAAGTATTGGGAAGCCATGGGAATTGAAAATTTACAGTGAAAAAAAGAGCTATTATTGGGAAAATTGTAATACAGAATGTGTAAGCATATGAAATTAGCTAGTAGTATGAAGTTGCTTGCAATTGGCGGACTATTTCAAATATCATTGAAGGGGATTATGCACATGAAGAAATTCCGGGAGATCTGTATAATTATTACTGATTCCTTCAGATGGATTTAATTCTCTTTCCCTCCAGATTTTAAATGTTTGATTTCGGACCTAATTAATCAGGGGATCAAAATTAACCATGCTTACTATGAAAAGTAAGCATGATTGGATTTCCGTCACCTGAAAAGTACAAAAGTCTGGGGAAGATCTGAATATCCAAACCAAAACTTCTCTCTCACCCAGGAAAAACTTGATTTAATTTGAAGGACAGTAAAAAACAAATCTATGATAACAATGTATAAAATAAATTTGGTTCCTTGATGTTTAACAGAGAGATCAACGCTCCTATCATCGAAATGAATTAAAGCTGAATCGGTTTCTACGAAAATTGTATACTGGATTTAAACTAAATCATTACTTTTAAAATATCAAAATTTAAAGGGCTTTGAGGAAAGTTCACTCAGCAAGACCTGCAATTTGTTCTATTCGTGACAGCATGCAGTAAAATGAATTAATAACAAAAGAAAATCAAATGACGATAAGCGCAAAGTTAAAAATGACGAAAAGTAATTCAGAAATTAGAAAAATTTTTGAATTTTTCCAATTAAAAAAAATTTCAAATTTGAAAATGATTGAGAAAGCATTATATGTAAAAAAGTGCTAATAATTGCCTAGGGATGAGACTGAATAGCACGAGTAACTGCATGATTGTTTACGGCAGTCATTTGTGAACCGACCATTACCATCGGCGGTTGTATATTGGTTGGTGCTCCTCCTTGTATCATACGACTATTCCCGTAACCCATCCTGCAAGTTTACCCAACAAATATGTTATCCAATTTTCTATCATTAGCTTTGGTAGCTGCCGTTTATTGCCAGAGCAACTGATCTGATCAGCTATCACGCATTCTCATGTAACACATCTATCCATTAGACTATGGATGAATTTTTTGGCAGTTATAGGCAAATTCACATGCTTTAATACTACCCAGTCGTCACCAATCCAAAAAAGAAATTTTTAAGTCATAAATTGTAGGAGGATATATGTGAACTGTAGAAAAAGTTGCGTTGAATAATACGTGCCCATACATTTGGACAAAAATATACGATTCTTCCAGCCTCGCTCATATTTACTAATGATCCTTCCCAGATCAATACAAACTCATCTAAGCCCGCAAAATTCTGTTAAAACTCACAGATTCACTGGTGAAGTACCATTCTGCCACACTGACTTATTGCCATCAGCCATTGCTATATTTTCTTCTTTCAATTTCAATGTACCATTCGTTCGCCTATTATTCGTCTGCAACGATCGTTTCATCAATTTCAAGATAAATTCTTTGATTAAATCTCAGCAATGTAATGCTAAGTTCGAACTCTTTAAGTAACAATTTTAGTTAAAATACAAACAGAAAACTGACGAAACTGTCGTGCAGCAATATGAAACAAAAACAATAAGAACACAAAAAGTGATTCATTAGTAATGAGCACCTTCTTTTTCCTAACATTTTCATAAATATCTAAAAGTTAATAACTATGTCTTAAAACACTGAGCATTTGTTCATCAATTAGTAATTAATTAATAAAATGAATACTAAATTTAGCTAGCTTTTCACTGTAGTACAAACAATGCGGACATTTTGTCCTTAGAAAGGATAGTCCATTTTATGACCCTGAAATATGTAATAAATCTATTCATATGAAGAAAGATTTCCTACTAGGAAGAGTTATTTGAAGAAATTAGAATAGAGTATCTGCGATTTAGAGAAAAGTTTGAGAAGCTTTATGAACAACATTAAAAAGATCAAAGAAGGGGGAAGAGAGAAGAAAGTGTCATTCTTCCAGTTCCTCATATTCATGATAAATGAAGATAAGTAGCGAAAGCTTTATTAAAGCAATTAACAATGCAAAAGAATTAATTATATCAGGGTGAATTACAATTTCTTCGTGAAGGAAAGAAAAATTTGAAGAAAGGAAGACCGAAAATAAAATTAGCAAGTTAAAACTACCAAGAAAATAATCATTTCAAAGTTTCAAGGAAAAAAGAAACTTACAGCGATGACAGTAAATGCTACTAATAGTACAGCTAATACACCGACAGC